GGAACTTAGCTTGGGGGCCTTTGTTCAATGGTTGTGGATGTACTTGCATGCAGAACGCACGATGTGAAGTTCAAGGGAGACGTGGTTGTTGTCAACACACCTACCTCTCCTTGTGCGTGCCTCCTGCATTTTCCCCAGCTGCCCTCGTAGTTAATAATCTTCTCGTTGTTGCTGTTGCTGTTGTTGCTGTTGCTGGTGCTGGTGTTGTCGCTGTTGCCGTTGCTGTTGCTGTTGCTTTTGTTGTTGCTGCTGTTGCTGTTGTTGTTGCTTTTGTTGTTGCTGCTGTTGCTGTTGTTGTTGTTGGTGGTGGTGGCGGTGGCGGCGGCGGTGGCGGCGGCGGTGGTGGTGGTGGTGGTGTGGCGTGCTGCTGCTGCTGCTGTCGTTGCTGCTGCTGATGTTGCTGTTGTTGACGCTTCTGCTGTTCATGGTCCTTATTCGACTGTCGCTGCCTGTCCTGCAGTTCGCTCAGTTCGCTCTGCTCGTGCAGTGACTGCCAGTGACATTACTGTGTTCAGCTCAAGCTGCAGGGCGTCGAAGCTTAGGATTCTACCTGTAGGTAGTAGAATACTACAATAGAACTTGTTGTGTGCAGGTAGGTCTGTGTGAGGATATCGACATGCAGAGGGCTCGGGGGTGGACGACGCAGTACAATGTAGGGATGCAGTGTTCAAAAGTAACGAGCTATGCTCCATGCCGAAGATGTGAGCTTCACGGTTGCAGAGTTCATGACCCGGCATAATGCTACTATCCTTTTCCAGGTCCAACCACCAAAGCCACTAGATATTGCGGCCCCCTACAGATCCCTTCTGAAAGCTGTATCTGTAGAACTCTCTATTTTAAACACCCTTATAAACAACCCTAGGCCCGTGTTTCATACTGTACTACACTACACCAGGCTATGCCTCGTGCTACTGCTAGTATGTTACTATTACGAGCCCTTTTCTAGTACAGCCAAGTACGAAGTCGAGTTCGAAAGCAAACCCCCCCGCCACCTCGGGCTTTTCAGGAGGCTCGGCCAAGTTCTCTGCTTTGAACTTCATCTCCTCACCTGGGCGTCTTTTTGTGTTTAAGTGCCCCTTTCCGCACCCTCAGCCGTCAACCTGGAAGTTCGGGTTTCGGGGTATATGTTTTTAGGGATCTCCCAGCGGGCTTGGGGATGCCCTAAGGTTGTTGCTTCTTCCGGGGCTTTTGGGGCTTTCGGGTTTAGCATCTCAGATTTGCGATTTGAAGTCTCGCAACTCGGACTCTGCCAGACGAGGTCTCTAACCCCAAATCTGGCTGAGGCTCTGGGGCTGCTCACGAATTACAAGTAGCATCTCGCATCTGTGCGACGGGCTAGATGCAGTCGAGACACCAGGACTGGGAATTCGCAGTGTTGCGATGTGGACTTTGAGTGTAGAAACGATGGGCACTTTGCATGGCCCTTGCGGATATCGGGAAGAAGACGCTTAGAAATAATTCAGATCCCACGCCTCGAGCAAAGCTTCCTAGTTGGTCTATGAACCATTACATCGAAAATTCCCCCCTCCCCTGCGCTACTCAAGAGCAATCGAAATTCTAATTTTGATACCTGCTGTAACACTGTGCGAGATCCCTCGCAAATGCATCCCGAAGTTCGAGGCAAGTCTGATTGCCTACCCGCTCTGCCAGCAAGACACCAAAAGGAGCGACTTTGCATCGCCATCTGCCGCTGCCGATGTCCCTGGCCTTTCGAGCACCCAACGCTTGAGAGAATGATGTATGTGCCCGACCGTCATTGTAGGGCTTCTTTCAAACAAGTTGGATTGAAACTGAGATCGGAAAACCCTGATGGAAAACTCTACTGTCAAGCAAATTGCCCATGCAGTTTGCATGCCTGTATCGGATCAAACAGTGGCCACATCTGGCGACAATCTGGTGTATCAGTGTATCTCAAGAAGTGAGGCTTGATGATTCTGCAGCTCCAAAAGCTGCCAACCTAATCTGTTTTGGAGGGAGTGGAGTAAGCGGCTTTCAAGTTCAATCCACCGAGCAAGTATGCCGATGGTCTCGGGTTTAGTTTACAGTTTACAGCCTGGACTTGGGCCTCCAGATATCCACATGGGAAATCGCCATTTCATGAAACCTTCTACATTGGAGCCATGTTCTTCTTCTCGGGATTGATATTGCGCTCTCAAACCCAAAACTCCGAGTTGGATCGCAAATCTCGTGCGCCTGGATGGAGACCTTAGTCGGCGGCAAGGCTGACTCGAACAAAGCCATTGGATGTGCCCTCGATCTGCTACGCGCGGACCCCCTCGTGACTTCAGGATTTTCCCTCCTCACACCGGCTCAAATACCATATCGCCACCAGGCTTTTCAACCCTGTCTTAGCTCTTAGCCTCTACTTACATACTCGGTAAGGGATGCCGCGTCTGAACCGCAGGCATCAAGCCTGTCCTCCTTGCCATCTCAAATAACTGAAGGACTTAAGCCCTCTTGGTGAGTCTTGTCTGAGATCAGGAGAACAAAGGGTTCAGTCTCTCCTTGACCAAACCAAAAAACTTCCTCAATCCCTCTAGAGTCCATCTTTGAAATTAAGCTCTTTTGCATCGCAAAGATGCAGCGACATCATGACGACACGCTCCATACCAGCTAAGCCCAAAGCGCCCCGCAGACACAAATCCCGGCCCAACTTGCAGCCCGGCCTGAAACCTTAAACTCCGCACTTCAAGCCCGCGATCATACATGCCGTCTCGACGCCTCACTGACCCATTATAGGGGCCTCTATATAATTAGAATAGGGTTCTGGGGCCCATTAACAAAACATAATAAGCAAGAGCCCCCAAAATACTATAGGTACTTATTTAGGACCCTACAGTAGCTTCGGGCAAGGTGCTTCCTGACCATTCAGCTCCGGCCTGCGAGGGGGGGAGGGGGTCTCACGTTTGCGTGAAGTTGGAGAGGGGCAGCTACAAGCGGATAGCTGGATCTTCTGATATTCGAAAAGGACGCGGTGTCCCGTCGGAACTGTTTTTTCCGCTTTGTGTCATGCCGATCTCATCACCAGCTTCCTGGTCGCTATCCGCTACAGCATCAACAGCAGTCTCACTGCCACCGCCAGCGACACCTCTTTCACAAACCAGAATGTCATCACCAACACAGCAGCAGCACGCAACGGCCAGGACAAGACCAACAGCAACTTCAACAGCAGCACCGGTGCAAAAGCACAGCAGTGCAGGACAGATCACAGAGGGTAGTAGCAGTAGCAGAGGCAATAGCACTAGCTGTAGCAACAGCCGCGGAACTAGTAGTAGTAGTAGTAGTAGTAGTAGTAGTAGTAGTAGTAGTAGTAGTAGTAGTAGTAGTAGTAGTAGTAGTAGTAGTAGTAGTAGTAGTGGTAGTGGTAGTGGTAGTGGTAGTGGTAGTGGTAGTGGTAGTGGTAGTGGTAGTGGTAGTGGTAGTCGTCGTCGTAGTCGTAGTAGGCGTAGTAGTCGTAGCAGTCGTAGTACTACTAGTACTAGTGCTAGTACTAGTAATAGTAACAGTAGTTTTTGCCGTAATAGGAACGGTCATAGTTATAGAAATAGGAATAGCGGTAGTGACAGAAAAAGCAGTGGTAATAGTAGTAGGACTAGCAGTACTAGGGGTGTCAATTTGATCGGAACTCGCCATCGTCGACAACCAGCTCTTTGCGAATATGATTTGGCGTGACTACCTCCCAGGGATTGAGCTCTTGTAAAACTTACTTACATGCTGCATCAAGATTCAAAATGGAAAGTGGGTTCCCCTGTTGACGACTGGCTTACAACGAGGCAGGTTCAAGGACAAGGCAATCAACAGGTTGAATACACTCGTATATGGGAGTTTCCGAAAATAGGGATCCTAATATCGTACTCTAAATAGTAGGATCCTTATTATAAGGACCCGCAATATAAGGTACCCCTAATTTTCGGAAACTCCCAGATAATTGAAGCCTGGACTTCCCCCTCGCAGCCTGGACTTCAGTCCTTCCAGTACTGCTGCACCGCCCGGATGCACCCACGGACGCGACGGCTCCGCCATTGTCAGCTCAAGTGCAAGCAACCGGGGCTGTAGAAATTCTGCCAGTTGGCTCATAAGTGCCGTCTCATGGACCACATATTTGGTCTCGAGGTTCCTGCTCATGCCGTAGCAAGGTAGACGTTTCGACGTGGGCCATGGGGTGCGCTAGCTGAATTCTCATGGGACGGGGCAGCTTTGCCTGTCGCTAGTTTCCCAAGATTTCATGCCTGCTATTCGGAGCCTTTGGCTGCCAACACCGGTACAATGTGAACAGCGAAACGCATGTCTCGTTGATCCTGCAAGCCGGGAAATCTACCTACGCACAACACGCTCAACGCATCTCCCTCTTCAAGTCTTCAACCATACTAAACCAAAGCTTGCGAACATGTTGAAAGAGATAGACAACTCTGCAGTATGTGTGCTGGCCCAGGGAGTATTGGGTGCAGAAGGGTTCCTTCAAACATGAATAGATTGCTTGCGCGTCTGCTATCCATAGACCGATCACAGACAGTTGCGAGTGTCCACGCTTGTTCGCAGGATCACATGCGAGCGCTTATGAAAGGTGGAAACTGCAATAGGCAACGGATGGTTCTGTGTGGGCGAACACCAACTTACTTTTGCATACCGCTTACACGTTGCCAAGTTTCGCGGGTCTCGTGCGACCGAGAAGTCACGACATCTCAGGCCACACGCAAACTCTAGACGGTACACATTTACGAGAACGACTGCCAAACGGTCAACCCCGCTGCCTTCAGATGAACTTCGTACCATGAACAGTTCATGCTGCACACTAACACTATGTAACAGCAACTAACGACAAGAGTCTCGAAATCTGAAAACGCCTGTCCAAAGTTGAAGTTCACCCCACCCCCCTCCCCACACACAGACACACAGAGAAGTGCGGGATCATGATTCAGAAAAAATCTGCTGAGATGACAACCCAGGGTTAAGTATCGACGAATCTCGGCACTCACAGGAGAAACCCTGTGCCAGCTGACCTCGAGCTGCCACATCTGTAGCCACGAGTACGGCCGGCCCAGGAGAAATCTCGGCCAGCTCACCTGGGAGACGTTCTCTCTGTAACTGGACGGAACTGCTGAAACTCAGGATACTAGGATCAAGCCTCCGGCTCTAACAGTCTCGCGTAGATTTTGAAGCTTCGGTTCTACGTGTAGCCAAGAGACGGATGGAGTGCACTAGTTCTGAAAGTAGTGCAGGCTTTCTGCCGTCCAAGCGCTTCGGGTCAGAGTTTCGCTTCCAAGGTCCCTCTCCCACTAGGGAACAGTCCATGTGAAATCTACAACAGATCGGAGCAGTGCCGCACGTTTTTGTACCATTGATGAGCCGCCATTACCAAATCCCTCGAGCAAGTCTATGATCTGGGGCAACACCAACCAGCCCGCCTCCATACACACGCCGACACACACACAGACACACAAACAAACACACACACACACACACACACAGACACACACAGACACACACAGACACACACACACACACACACACACAGACACACACAGACACACACACACACACACACGGACACACAGACACACACACAGACACACACACACACACACACACACAGACACAGACACAGACACAGAGACACACACACACACGGACAGACACACACACACACAGACACAGACACAGACACAGACACAGACACAGACACACACACGCACACGGACAGATACACACACACACACACACACGGACAGACAGACAGAAACAAGCAAGGAAGCGAGCAAGCAGGAAAGGCAAGCAAACAAATGTGCATAGATGAACGCATACATACATACATACATACATACATCGGGTATGCTTACGTGGTTTGCGTGCACATGCATGCATGCATCGGTATACATCATTGTGATCGTTTTGAAAACATCAGGTGTGGACGCATCTATGCTAATTTTTGGCCTACCATTTGTCCATGCCCCTCCGTCTCGGTAATTACCAACTAATAACGGTGGCAGCCAGTGACATACGTGTATGTGTGTGTGTGTGTACGTGTTCGCATGCACATGTTTTTCTCATGGAACTGCGCTTCGCCACCGATCTGACGTACTTTCCACCTTACCTGCCGAACTACCCCATTTTGGAAGTTCCTTTGGCGAGGTTGCCCGTTTCCCAGAATCAGTCGATGCACGCAAACGTACATGCAGATATCCCAAATAGGGGTGTATAACATGATCGACTGTTCTGCATGTTGGTATGCTTGTATGTACTGCCACGTACATAGATGTAAGTAGGCAGCACCCAATTTTCCAGCAGCGAAATGTCTCTGGTGCTGGATCTGCGACGGAGCCAATGCGAGTTGACTCACACCACCCTAGAGCCAGGGCAACTCGGATAGCAATCGAACTGCAAGCGCCTTAGGCTGAGCATTTATAGAGGGTTAGGCAGATCCGAACCCTTGTGGCATGGTCTCCCTATCGCCTGTCCGCGGATCGGTGGCGTCTAAGTGTGGAAAAGCTACGTTAACGGCCTCGGAGAGAAGCAGCACCAGGTTCGCGTGTCTGCAACTCACTTGATATTTATTGATAGTTACACCTGAGACTTTTTTCCTTCTCTCTACGGCCTTTGGGCTGCACGTGAAGGTGAAGGGTTCGCACCCTGGGCCCTTGCGTGTGTTAGTGCTGATCAACGGCTCAACAGCTCTCGTCGTGTAGAACAGGCGGCTTCGGTGTTGAAGGAGCCTATACAGCCCTGAACCTTGTCGTGAAGCCACGATGGCGTCAGGACGGCTGCAGCTGCGGCGCCTCAATGGGCATTTAATCACACTGCTCGCTATGTGCTTCCGATATCTCTGTCTCGTTTGCAAGGGCTGCCAAGGTCTGCCACGAGGAGTGCGGACAAAAACAAGCCTGTTTGGGCTGGGCAGCTTGCAATGGCGTTGAATCTAAGAGCAAGCCTGCCACTGTGGGGTGCCCGACGCGGGCCGATGCTCTGCAAAACAAGGCTTCGTTTCCCATTGCTGTGTAGGCTCCGCCCTAAATCCTGCAGCCCCCAAACCCGTGAAAACCCCAGTCCCTGAAGCCCAAAAGCTTCCAAAGCCACAAACAAATCCAGGCCAAACTAGATACAACACTCCAAGACATCCCCAGACCGATGCTCGACTCTCTCCCAGCAAGAGCTCCTGGTCTCAGGTGTAGGGTAAGTTAATTTTTCCCCTCCTGCCTAAGGCTAGTTCACATTACTTGGGGTTTGGGGTTCAGCCTCAAATAAAGAGACGCAAGGGTTGTTCAGCTGTTGAGCTGGCATTGCTTTTGGTAGCAAGGGTTTCTGCAGCAGCCTAAAGTCAAACTAGCTACAGTGTTTCGTTCTTCAAGACTCAAGACGACCACAGCCACAACTCGACTATTAAACTCTAGCAGCCCCAAAACTCTAGCAGACTCTAGCAGGCCCACTTCAGCTCAGTGTCAGTATGCTTCACTCTGCGAGCCGGTTATGGTTATGGTCTTGAGTCTTGAGTTTCCCTGAAACAATGATGGCGCCACTGACAACTGCAGGTCAGCGTGATTGAGCCAATCATGAATATTGCTTAAATTAGCAGCTTTCTGAATCCGTGCCCCGGCCTTCACGGCCTTCAATCTGCTGACCGAGACATGTTTACATAGCCAAGATGCCGCAACTGTTGGAGCCTGCAATCGCTCACATTGCCTCAAATGGTCAAGGCTTGCCATGTCTGGGCAAGGAGGATGGATCACGATTGATATCAAGTTCAAGTCGTATTGCGCAACCCAAAATTCGGGGTACGGGGCCGAGAAGAATCACACAGGGCTAGGTGTCCTTGCGGGTTTGTGATTTAGCACATTGCGGTTTACAACAGAGGCTGACAGCAAGTAGCGACAAAGCATCAGGTGCAGCGCATTTCTTGAAGACGAGTGATCGATTGTCGAGGCGGCTCAAGTGCTGAAGGAGCGGAGCGAAGCCCAGATGAATTCGCTTTCTTGCTTGACCCCCAAGGCACAGCCCGCAGCAGCAACAAAGTATTGCTGCCTAAATCTTCAATTCATCCATCTGTGGTTCTCGGAATTTCACCGGCCCTCTCATGAGAAGCAATGATACCCCATGTTCATAGCAGTCCGTTTAATGCTAGCGTCTGCTTTTCCTGACTTCTTGAAGCTCCCCAGCGGATAAAATGCAAGGGCCCAATTGCCAACAACGGGAGGGTGGAGGAAACATCCGAAAGACCAATCATGAGGAACATCGGGAGAGTAGGACGATGTGCCAGTCAGCACTTTAGCACTTTACAGGAGCAACACATGACGAGACGACTGCAGCTTATACTAGGCAACTTAGCAGTACTAGGCAGAAACAGAGTGATAACATGAAGGAAATCATCAATAAGCATCCCGATGCGCCACAACATGCACAACCCGGTACTTGCTAGCGCATGGAGAGGAAATACTGGCAGCAAGTCCTTTACTCCTTCGCACCGGTGCTGGCCCGGAGCTCGAAGACTTCTGCTGGCTGCTTAACGATACCCGGGCACCAAAAGCGACGAGTCGCTGCTTGTAGCTGTCGCGCAGCTGCTGGCATGTTTCCAGTTCTTCCTAGCAGCACGGTCGAGTCTGAGCCGCACAGCCGACAAACAAACAACCAAGCACACAAGCAACACACACACACAGAGGCCCCAAGGCTGCCTGAGCTAGCGCAGTGAGGATCCCAGCCCTGAGCCGCTTAGTGTCTCTTGATGCGCGACGATCCTCACGAATTCACGCGGTTGGAGTGTGTGGCTTGATGGATGGGGACGGTTGGCTGTGCAACAACCCATTCTGCAAGGGAGACTGCTGGAAGCTCGAATCTTGTGTAGATTCGAAGCTGGGTAGTCCGAGTGCCTTTACACATATGCAGGATTTTTGAATGCCCGTTTGCATGTTGCCGTTGAACACACAAGCCATACTGACAGACCAAGCGCAGTCCTTGGCTAATTGCGCAGAAGCCACAGGGACGGATATGGTGTGAAAACAAGTGATGCACAGTGGCACACTTGAACCCAGAGCCTCGAAGCGCCTGCTCCCACATTGACATGCCAGAGAACCCGGGAGCTAGCCTGGAGCTTGCCAATGGCTTGCAGTGCGACTTCAAAGCGCTGCGCCAAAGCGTTCTGGGCAGCCATCCCTGCCAAGACGCTGCCAAGGCAAGAAGCAAACAGGTAGTTTGCCGACTGGGATTTCGATAGGGGTGTGGGGTTCCCAAATCTAGATTCACTGTGCGTCCAGAAATTAGATTATGTCGAGACACACACACACACACTCGCTCGTTTCGCACAGGAATTAAAAGAATGTAAGTATATACGTATATACATATACATATACATGTGTATGTGTATGGGTTTATATATGTATACACAAACTGCTACAAAGATGCATGCATGCGCATACACACATACGCACATACATATTAATATACATGCTTGCATGCATATGTACGTAACATACGAACAGGCATGCGCACATAGCAAGCATGCACCACTATGTATGGATGCATGCCTGCACGGTTGCATGAGTGTAAGCATGTATGACATGTGCACAGATTAAGCCGCACATTTCATTGAACAGACGAACACGCAGAGACACATCTCCATGCACGTGCATGCATAAATGCTGGCACACATGCAGCTGCTAAATGTACGTGCGCATGTGCGTGTGAATACGTACATAAGGTTATAGAATTAGAAAGGGGCAACACACAAAACCAAGCAACGGCTGGAAATGGTCGGTTTGTATGTACATAGGCACGTAACTATGAAAGGCTTCGGATCTAACTACTGCCTACGACGGGGAGAGCCTGAGGTTTGACTACACTGACCAGACGTGTAGACTTTTGTAAACCCAGCACACACGGCCGCTGTGGCGACCCAACAACGAAAGACGCATCAGATCACCAAAGGCCTGCTGTCCTTGAACCGATACATGCATCTTCTGTCCGCATGCCCGAGAAATCCCGAGAACCCCAGAAAGCAAATGCCTGTCCGCTGCTGCTCGAGCTTTTGTTGAAGCTTGCCTGTCTCCTTCACAAATCGGTCCGGATTTCCGAGTGGAACTGAAAGACTGCACCTACAGAAGCCCGTGCTCTACACCACACCGTCCGATCGTGGGACTAGTCTTGACAGTGATTTCATTCAAGAAGCTAAGACGCAACAGAAGCGCGATGCATAGCAGCTCATCATCTATGGACGCACCCGGATTGTGCTTGCTGTTCGAGCAGATTGCGCTCTCGCTACACACGCCGTCTTCAAGCCTTATGACCACCATCAGCATCCTCTGGGAAGACCACTCCCAATCGTACAACTCGCAAATGTTGCTTGCATCTGATTCGCAGAGCAGCGCGAGTTTTCTCGGCGCGAAGATGTTGGCACTCCATGGCTGCACAGCTTGAGTGAGCGCGCATGAGTGCGCGCTGTGTCATGATCCAGTTCCTCTGTCTGGCGGGGTATCGGCGGTGACAGCTGTTCTGCCCGCTAGCCCGCTGAGCCTCGAAAACTTCTAGCTGTTGTTGTAGGCTTGCAGCTTCCCGGAATGCTCCCGCAAGGCGTCCTGCTGCAGCGCGTCACGCTGCCTGGTGATGGTGTCTACCTGTGGCAAGAAACTCACAGCATTCCGGGGAGCAGGTGTTCCGTGAAACTTAGCCTCCAGCCAACCGAAAAGCAAACTTGACTCGAAGAGGCCCACCAGGACCATCAGACTCGCCAGCATGCATCACCAACAAACTGATGATCGCTATCACCGAACCCATCTCGGTCGTGGTCGTGAGTGCGGTTATCATGTCTTCATTGTCATCATTGCGAGCATCATCATCGTTGCTCCTTTTCTCTCTGGGGTCGATTACTATTCTCATGATCTTGGCCACTCGCCCGCCCTGCCCACTTTCGAAACACATGGGCATCTGTCTGAAACCTGGGTCGTGAGGGTCTTTGTAAATAAGACTCTCTGGGGTACTCGAGAAAGGGATCGCGGACTAGACAAGCCTCCACAGGTTCGCAACCCTTGCGCCTGGATGCGCAGTTGCTGCAGCTCTGAGTCTTTCACGGCCGCGACAAGCGATCCTGCCCATTCTCGGTGTGGGTATGCGCGGGTAAGGCAGTAGAGCGGTTTAGGCTTTAAGTTCCAAAATCCTCACATCCGGAACCTTGAAGGCTGCAGCTTCAAGCTTCCTCTGTGCGAGCACAACATAGGAACATGATGCGATGCTCGGTGATATGCTCTGCCGGGTTTCTACAGCTCGGAGGCTTCTTCCTAGCTTCGGACTTCCATGCACCTTCCGAAGCTGAAGTTTTGGAACTATGTGCCGGGACATGGGTTACCCAGAAGTCCGGGTGCCAGCCCTCACGGACAACAACGGAATTATTTTAGAGTCGCCAGCTCGCGAAAATGGAAGCGACGCCCCCTCAACAAAAATTGCGATCTGGGACGGCCAGATCGAGAGGGCGTCAAATCATTGTGACTGACCCATCTGGTGGCATCTGCACGAAACTTCGCACGGGCTGGCATTGGGCTGGCCCTCAATCATTTCTCGAGTTCGTGATGAAATTGTAATACCATTCTACGAAGTCTTGTGCAGATCACTCGTTTCCTCAGCCCGGGACCCTTTAGAGAGAGCTGCTTGGTTCAGGGGCCCTAAACCCATAATCCCGGCCCCAAACTCGGACCCGACACCTCAGACGAGCACATGCCCTCGACGTGTCAAGGCTCGAGCCTGGTTTGCCCTTTTTGCAAAGTTGCCAGGATCCAAAGCCACATCGCCTAGCCTGAAATCCTACCACACGAATCTGCGTTGTCAGGGCCTCCAGGAACAGAAGCTGGCTGCGTGGCCGACTGCAGTTTGTCGACCTGGAACCACCCCCGAGCAAGCCCCAAGGCTACAAGTGACCCCCGTGTCAGAGCTCACTGGAATCATTCCGAGAGGGAGCCGGAAGGGAACGATGTTTCTTGTCCAAGCTCCTGAGAAGAATATCCTGAAAGCTGGTCTTCTACAAAGACAAAATTGCAGCAGTGAACAATTGGGGAAATACTAGACGTACTAAGAAGAAAAGATACGATATTTTTCCCCATTATGTGTGTAGTGCTTGTTGTAGCTTGGGGTAATGTCCTGCCGCGCCGCCTAAGAGCACGGCACCTGCTTGTACGAGATCAGCAGTCGACTCCGCAAATGCGCCGAGATCACAATCTAAACTCAACTCTGCAACTCGGGAGGTGAAATCCAACGCGGGAATACCAAAACACTAGAGGCACAGACTTGGAGCCCATTCAGAGATCAGTCTACTCGATATGTAATACAATTACAGTAACGTTATATAATCAATATTCTATAGTGCATTCGGCAAGAATATAATGACATATTGTAGTAGGCTATAATATGCTATACTGCACTATAAAATAACGTAATCACATACTGTAGTATACTGCTATATACTATAACACACGAATCAATGCCCTGTAACAACATGCCTAAGACCTGGCCTGCTGCTGCAAGTCACTAGCTTGCAGTTCGGCAGACCGGCGCCGAGCCATTTCCAGCTTGAGCTCACCTAAACAGTGTGGTGTTCGGGGTTTTTGGCTCCTACTTCGCAAGGACGAGCCCGCATGGCAGGGTTGACATGTCCGGCACAACATATGCTTCCGTAATGGGGACATCGGGCGTCAAGTAAAAGTACACACCGAGTCTTCAAGAACGCCGAGTCACCACTCTGCACACGAACTGTCTGCGCAACGGCACATTTGTCACACATCAGCAGTGACTGTATCGTCAGGCGAACTGTTCACGTTAACTCATGGCATAGGGCTCAGGGTTCCAAGAAGAGTTCAAAAAGGAAACTAGGTTGCAGAGTGCCTCGCTGTGGGCGGCGGTTCCGTTGCACATTTTCCACTAGAATCCCGTTCTCGCCGCAGCCCCCTTGTTCAGGGGAATGGTTTCAAAACGTTTGACATGTGCCAAACATACTGGCGGGCTTTGCAGTGTGGTGTCGCGAACCCTGCAAAGTGAGGGGGTTTCGTTTTTGATGGCTCTGCTTTCAAAACTCTCCAAGAGCCTAGGATCTTATGGGAGGGGCACATGGGTCCGTGCTGGAGCGGTCTCGGGATGCATTTGTGCCGTTTCTTGGGAACGAGGACTAGGATTGGCAAAGGAATCGGAGAGGTTCGAACCAATCCTGGCTCTCGGACCTTCCGCAGCTTCTCTTGCTCGGTCAGCTGCTTCCTTCGCGGTGAGCACCTTTCAGCTTCAAAAGCTCGGCAAGGACGATGGGGTTTCCGCACGTACCGCTTCGGGTACTGCAAGCTGGTTTGTTCAAGTCGTCACAGAAAGCATGTGTTTGTCCATCGAGTCTTTACTCCGCAAACATGGTGGGACGAAGAACTCCAGAGAGACAAACAGCATGTGTTACAATCTTGCAGAAGTTGATGTTGCGGACGTTTCGACCGGCCTTACATCTAAGTCCGAAATCAGTGAAGAGCCGACGCAAGAAACAACTCTGCCGCCGGCCTCAGCGGCCTCACGTCCTCGGATCTAGGGACTCTGGGTTTCACGAGATGAAACTCGGTAAGTAGTCAGAGTGTTCCTCGGCGGTACAATATACTATAAATGTCCATGCGTACATGTGTATATGCGTTTATATGCTTCTATAGACATACACACATACATATTTGTATATGTATATGTGTATATATATATATATATATATATATATATATATATTATCAATATAGGCATACATGCACTTTTGTGTATGTATATACATATATACGTATCTGTGCATACGTGTATACGTACATACATACAATACATAAACATAGCGTGTACATACTCGTTTGCATCTGTGCAGGTTTGAGCAGTTGAGGTTGCTATGACTTCATGATTTCCCGCGTGTAGACTGTGATCTCCGTCCATAGCTCGCTGGGCTCACGCCGGCAAATTGAAAAAATAACCACAGAATGCTACCGAAGCGGGGGCCGAAGAGACATCGCTCTACGGGATGGCTCGTCGGATTCAAGCCGTGCGGCGTGCCTCCGCGGCATCCACGATGGCCTTTGAAGCAAGGGGAGTTCGAGTCGTCAACCATGTACAGTACCGAAACAACTATGCCGAGGAGGGCTTGTGAACGCTTCAACTTGCCCCGAAGCGCCCAAATTTCTTCCACGGTCACGTGGTAGTCAGCTGCCACCGCACTGGGCACAATGACAGTTCGGAAACGACCGTGTGCTTTGATGGTGGGACCTCTATATTGGGCATTTGCCACGTTAAGCTGGCTGGCGGGTGCTCCAGTGCGCAGTTTTAGTGTGCTGCGGACATACCGAAGGAAATCAAACACATGCCCAGCAAACAGTTTCGGACAGAGCCTGGCTTTTTGATGTGCAGTGCCAAGTTCCCGGCAGGCACCGCGACACCGTTTCAGACCGATCATGGTACCAACAGTTCTGCTTCGGACGGAACTGCAGTTCAGCGTTAGAACAGCCACCAGAACATTTCGCTGTCGCTATCGTCATCATCGCATTGGCGATGCTCATCATCATCTTCTTCATCACGACCGCGATTGACATAAGCACGGCGACCATCATCAAACCACCACCACACCAATGATGAACATGAAAACTGTCATCGCAACCCTCACCATCCGATGAACCATACTCCTCCGTATCGCCCTCAGTACCACTGTCATCGCTATTCTCACATCCGTTCCCTTCTGCCAGCAGACCTCCTCCCCCCTACTCTGCCTTGTGCCCCGTTCCCATCCACAAAATTTAAACGGGGTGAACTTGCATGGACGAAGCGCTCCCATGTGCAGAATGAGATTCCGGGCAATACTGTTTGAACATTTCCTAATTAACGATTACCTTGTCAAAATGGAAATACACCAAACCCTACGTAAATTTGCGCGGGCTCTACTAAGACGTATGACACATCACAAAGGTCCCTCAAAATACAATAAGGACCCAACAGCAGTAAGTATTGGTAAGCACTGGACGACGAAGGCGTCACCAAGTGCAACCAATGTTTTTCCATTGCACAAGGCACCCAGAACAAGCAAGAATCAAACAAAGTCTCTCAAGTTTCCAGTCACTGATGCATCACCTCAAACCCTTGAGACTTGTAAGTGGGTGGTCTAGGGCTGGGAATGCCTGAGCACACCCTTGTAAACCTTTCCCCAGAACCCAGAGACTCCAAAAACCCTTAACTAGGGAATATACCGCAAACCACATTAGGGATCGGATCCTACCACAATTTAATATAAGGTATGTTCCCTGATCAAGGGATCGGCTATGGGAGTCTCTCTCCCAGACACTCCAATATCCTTCATTAGGGAATATCATTACCTTAAATTATATTGTAGGCAATTAAGGTACATTGCCTAATAAAGGGATTTGGATTCCATGGGGAAGCATGACCGCCTGCTGTGCTCGCGCAGACTCTTCGCGAATTTCGCGCGCCCGGCGCTCCTCACTGGCCAGAGGTTTGGGCGTCTCTGCTCGGAACTCTACAATTTTTAGAAAGTAAGGAATCCCCAAAAAGAATCTAAATCTTACATAGTAGGATCCGTATATTCACTGCCAGCACCCCCAGATAAGGCATCCATATCGAGGCTCCTGCGGCTAAATCTAGAAAGTGCCTGAGATTTTCGGATGCTGACTGTCTCTGGCTTGTTTGGTCAAAGCAGTTTGTAATGAGTCTTACAGGCCAGGGCAACAGCTTCGCAGGAGTAGCGCCTGGCTCATGTTGTGCTCGTTTCAAGTTGTTGCAAGTTATCTGGAAAGACGCAATATCACCTCCGGCCTTTGAAAACACAAGCGAAAGCCCATGAGACCTACCATGAGATGCTCCTGAAGCAGCTCTCGCTGCCGCAGCTCCTCCTTGGCCACCTCCAACTCAGCGCGCTCCTGTTCAGGTGACAATCCCAGGTCGAACTGCTATACTGCTCGACTACGGGCCGACAAACTCAAAATGAGGTTTCGTTGAGTGCATTGCTAGACTTCCCGGAATGGTATTTGTGATTCTGAAACTATACTAGAACTTCTTGGCGGCGTATTCAACTCTGATGGAGTGATGCGCGATTCATTGACAGTTTTGTTGTCCATGCCTGTCGATTCGAGAGGCCGGCAGATTGCAGACTTCATACGATAGGAATACATGGCATGTAAGACTGCGAATACGGGGAATACAAGGCGCTGTACATATATTATTATAATCACCAGATTATTGTAGGATGTTGGAGAATCGGAGAACCAACCCAAGCCTGTGTCGCAAACCTCGGCCATCAATGCTGTAACAACGTCGGACACACCATATGCTTGCCTCCAGTATATACATACACACATGTGTCCCATCACTATCCCAGGCGCCTAGGTCAATTCACATGCATTCCGGCACAGAAAACCCACTTGTGGCCTTGTCTCGCTCTCGGTAGGCAACAGCTTCACGCTCGAGGAACTTCTGCCTGGCAGCTACCAGTGACACTTACTATAGTTACCCCAAAGGGTCTTATGTACCGATATAGTAGAACGTAGGGTTTCCATTTTAGGAATTACTAATATGACTTAGGGAAGTATTCCCCATAACAGTATATAGGACCCTTTGGGTACTAGCGGCCACTAGCATGAAGATTTGTGCAGTAAGTGCTTCATTGTCCGAGGCAGAAATCTGAACACCTGTGCCTGCAGTCAGTGGCCTATCAAGCCTCCTTCGTCCTCAATTTTTTAAAATCAAAGCGTAAGCTCCGACGCCCTACACCTGTGAGCCATCCTCGAAACACAACCATCGTCCAAGAGCCCATGCTGGGGTCGGGAGTCTCTTCGCAGTGGTTCCCGCCCCTTTATGTTGGAGCAGCATACCCAAGAGCGAAGTGGCCACGATGTTGCACTGTATAGTGAAAGCTCTTCCGGCTGCTTTTCGCGCTAGCGGCCGCTAGCGCATGTTTGCCCTGTAAATTCAAAAGTGCCGCAACCTCCACACAGAGCCATGTCCCGAACGAAGCATCATCCCGACCTTCAAGGTCCAAGGCCCTGAAAACCCATATGAAGCCTATGGCCCATAATCGCCATAAGCCTTAGACCCCAAACCCAAAGCCAACCAGTCCGTAGAAAGCCCACCCAAAACATAATCTTCGCAAACGCACACCGCTACGGCGAACGACTCTGATACACCTATGCCTGCGAGGACCGCAACCGTACCTCCCAACACCCAATCACCCCAAAACAAACAGCAGCCAAACGAAAAGTACAAGCAAATGCACTAAGATCCCCAAAACCGCAGCAACACGAAACTCTGACACTACAAGTATCAACACCACAGCGCTCTAATCCGGGGTGCTCTTGGTGCGCGAGCTGTGCTTCGAGTTCCCCAAGACGCTGCTGGTAAGGCATGCTCTCGTTGACAAACCTCGTCGCTTGGGTTTTAGATGCTTTTTGTGGGTAACCTTAAGCCCTAAACCGATGCCTTTTTCTGTCTGCGGGTGTGTCCGCACCCTGGTTTCGGGGTTTAAGGCCGCAGTTGAGGGTTGAGGGCTTTAGGGTGTTAGAGTTTGAGCCAGTGCAGGGACATCATAAGCGAATCCGGGCTTACGATCCAGGGATGCTAAGCTTAAGCCGTCAGCGGTCGAGTTAACAAGTTCAAACAAGAACAAAGTCAATTAACGGCTTCCGCCTGAGACCGAAGCTATCTCTGCAGGTTCGCTGAAAATCAAGTCAGCCGTCTTCGCCACTTCAGTAACAAAACCAGCCACGATCGCATCGGCAGAGGATTTCAGGGTTGATGGAATTTGCACACTTGGGGGGTTCAAGTGTTTCTTCCTCCTGCAATCAGTTTTGAACACTCCATTAAGTTTACAGTGTCAGGCTTTCGGGCTTGGGGTCCAGAGTTTCCCTAGGATCGCGCATTTAAAGTAACTTTCGATCCTGCATCGCCTGGCAGGCAAGGCGCCTGCCTTGGCACCCCCTAAACCCGAAGACCCTCGGCGAAGGCCATGAAGAACGAAAGTCAAGCCGCTCGTATTCTGCCGCCTCAATCTGCTGCCTGTGCCTCTCCTGAAGCTGCTCCATATCCTCGCGGCTTTAACGCGGTTCAGAATTGGAGTTTGGAGCGCACGGTCCGGCAACGTAGCTGCCACGAGAACAGCATCGCGATTCCCATCTTCTCGCCACGAATGCTGGTATTTCAAAGGCATTTAAATGCACGAGCTGTGCCGCGCAGGATACATGTCCGTGTGAGATCACTTCTGGCACGACGCTTGCAACGCTGCTTCGCATGCCCTGCCCAGAAGAAGCAAGTTCCACTTCCTCTCACGCCTGGAAGCCCAACTCCCAAACATACGTCCTAACCAACGCCGGGGTCTCAACTATTAGAACTTTTGAGGCATGGTATGTGATTTTGAGCGTAGTTCGACCTCTGTATGATCTTGTCAATGCCTGCATCTGCTGATGGGATCGCCGCTCCAGAGAATCCACAGCCGCCAAGGCCTTGCATGCTCCGATTTCGTCCTGAAATTATCTCTACCCAAAAGGCCACGAGTACCAAGCTATCGACCGTTCAGGGGTGCATAGTGTTCAGCTTCGACCATAACTGCAGATCGGCAGACTTCCACAATGCTAGTGAACGGGGCTTCTTCCGAAAGTTGGGCTGGAGGTTTGGAACTAGGAAGACAACATGAAAACGGAGAGCTAAGCTGAAATGGCATTCATGCCACAACGCCAGGCTTTGCTGTGTGCCACAATGAATAGCTTACCGAATTCTGTAATAAAGCATCGCGCAGCCGAGCTTGTTGTACAGTGTATAGCAGTATACATACAGAAACTGCCAGGGACGCGCTAGACGTCAGTTTCCACTTGGTGACTTAACTGACAATTCCTGGTGGAGCAGACTCAAACCGTGCTGCCCGTTCTCTACGTCCCATATGTTCCCGATTAGAGCTACAGTCTGTTCTGGTCTGTCGTGATTAAAGTACATCCCAGTCCAACACACGAGTGCTTACCAATGCCGTAGTCGTCGGAAGTGTGTTGCACTTCAACGCAAATCTAACTGTAGCGCACGAAGATACACTGAACACCAGGTTACCAAGTTGCATTGCAATACATCGTTAGACCAATAGCTGGCGCATCGCGGGGGTTGTCGTGCATGGTGGCGTGCCGGAGCTTGGATACTCCATCACGCCTTTCCTACATCCTACATCCTCGATGTCCTTTAATCGGTGAACACCCAGCCACCTGCTGCAGCTCCACTGACAAGGAGGCGCTCGTTGCTCTGAGCTCATCCCTCTCGTGCATGAGTTGCCTGGGCGTCTAAGCCAGCAACTACCAGGAGTATGACTCTCACTCTCGCACGCAGCTGGCAAGGCTCCGCGCAGTATAACTAATACTGCCAGACGGTTATCATGGGGGCCATATTGACCAGAACAGGGTCTCGGGGCGGGACCCAAAAAATAGAGCATACGAACCATAAAGGGGTAGATTGCGGAACGTATTACTGATCAGGGAAGGCAGCCGAGACACTTCGCAAACGTTTCTTCGGTCCCGCATAAAAGCAACAACAAGTACAAGTAGTATGGATTTAGGGTTTAGTTTAATTAGGGTTTAGTATGTGCTCAACTGCTCAAAGCTCGAACTCCAAAGCTTTAATTCCCTCATAATCCCGACTGAAGCCCGCCTGGAACCCTACTGCCCTGCCATGTCAGATGAGTCTCTGGACGCGCTCCTCCATCCTTCGCTCCTTCTAAACTGTTGCATCCGACGCAATCCGCATAGGGGCAGCTAAGTGTTTCACAGCCAAAATGTATTAGTGTCCCCGAATGTATGGAGAAGCCCTTATCGAAGGGGGTCAGGACTGTTTCAAAGCATTCTTCGGGCTTCAAAGGCACCAATTTGGAGGGCCCAAGAGCGTGCAACATGTCCAGAGCGTAGACTTTGGTTCTCTGGCTAGATACTATGGCGATAGACACTTCCCAAATCCGACTATGACTATGCGATTGCATGTCGGAGTTGTAGTGTCGTCGTCACATGTGGGGAGTGGCATCAAGTGCGAACAGTGCAAATGCAGGTCGCAGCGCCCTGTCAACAAAATGTCGCAGGAAAGTCCAGTGAACGCCGGCGGATCGTGTGGGAAGAAGCTTCTGCAGTCTATACTCTAAAATCTCCCTGAAGTACAAAAACACAAAAGGCCAAGCCCTCAGTTTGACACCCCTCCTTCTCGGAATTTTCACGACTCTTCATTTGAAGGGCCTGCTGGTCCGCCTGATGGGTGGATTCAGAGGCACAGGGAGTTTGGCTCTTGCTTTGGCTGCTGTCGGGGGGTCAAAAGGTAAGCTCTCGGCTGGTGTTTCCAGCATTCGTACATCGGTCACATCCGCGCGATGTATATAAGGCTGACGGGCATGACGCGCAGAGCACGCGAAGAACCAGGAGCCAGGATGCCCAAGTCCGATGCCGTGCCGTTTAACCCTGTAGTCAAGCAAGCACAGCCTGAATCTTGAAGCACCCCGGCATTGGACACTACATGTTGGTCAAGCATGGGGCCAGTCTGGAGCTTAAAGCTGTATGGTTTTGCACACAGACATGTGGTAACTACGCTTCACCTCATGTACGAGGCTTCCGCTTCTCGGTCTGCCCAGCACTCGCTTTCAAGAGAAGAAAGGCGTTCAACCCTCCAGCATTCTCAAGTCCGAATCACTACTGTAGCCGCTGCGCACCTGCATCTGACGCTTCTCACCTTGTATCTGCTGCCTGGCCTTGTCCTTGGCACTTGGGACGATTAGGGAAAAACCGTGGTGTCGCCTTGTGCGCACCCCACACCCCGTCTTTCAACAACAACTAAGCCTATCTGGAAGCTTTGCAGCAGTGCGCCTTTACACACGCTTGATGATTGTGCATGCTCCCGGCTGTGGACCCTCCAAAAGATGTAATCCGAAATGCCTTTTTCGACATCAAGAAGAGTTTTTATGCAGTAAAAAATGGCCTCGAACTTGAACGTGAAACCTACAAGCAAGACTGCAAAAGCCTCTCATGCAATGATGTCCCATAGCAAGGACTGCTTGCAACACATATGATACAAAGTTTCATTCTGAGCCGATTTTTACCACGAGATTGCTCTAGCCTTCCATCTTGAGCACTCGAGAAGATGCCATCAGACTCTGTTCGGCACAGGGTCCAACTCGGATGTCAGGCGCCGCGTTTCGGCGCGGAGTTCGGAACTCTGACCTTCAGCCTCGCGAGCTCATGCGTTTAGGATTCGGGCTCCGATTCTGAGGTCGGACAATCCAGGATTCTGAGGTCTAGGCTCTGCAGGCAATTAGGCTTTCAAAGCTTTCGGGCTTCAAGTGGTGGAGGCACTCGTTTCGTTCATAGTTTGGAGGTCGCCATGCGTATACGAGGTTCAAGGTCAAGGTCTGGAGGTTTGGAGGCAAGAGCGTATTCTAACTCTGAGCCCCCCACCAAAACAACGGTCTTGGGGTATATCGCGCGATATAAATATACCGATAATCTTGATACGCCAGGGATAATTCTACTAAGTCTGCGATCCGTGTATTACATAAATATAAACCGTCAGAAACGAAGACATTAGCAAATAAATATAAATTGGTCGCCGCCCCCCCCGTTGACAGACCTTGCCCTTTCGAGTGAGTCGTAGTGCATGGCCTGTCATCAGATGTGTGACAATCAGCCCTCCCATCAATTCAGAAATTTCCGGATTTCCAAATTGTCAACAGAGTTCCAGGAATTCCAAGAAATTCCAAACAATTCGTCCTCATGTTTTGGAAACATCCTGTCCACTAGGTCTGGGGATGGAGGATTTTTTTGAAATTTTGGAATTTTTGCAACTGAGTCTCAGGAGGGCTGATTGTGGTCCATCCGATGACAGACCATGCACTTCGACTCACTTACAAAGGCAAGGTCTGTCAATACTCATGCCCAGATTTAGACAACTATCAACACGTAGTTATAAGTATTGTTATACCTACGAATGCTACTACCAATACTAATAATGACATTAATCATTTGTTGAATGCTCAAGCTAATACCAGCGTTAATACGAACATTGCACTTCTATAAAGCCTAGCACGACTATGCTGAATACAGAAAATAATATTGATTAATCTTGACATCGTTACTCTTACGCATATCAATATTAATGCACACGTGCATATACTAATGTGCATAAATATATACTAATGTACATAAATATACATACCACTTTATTAAAGTACACATACATCAACTCATTCCCATGTAAGCAAGAGCAATACCTATCGCAATCACTCCTACGAATACGAACCATCATATTAATAGTTGTACTAACGCTAGCACTATTACTAATACTATTCACAGTATTTTTACTAATATCAATATTCAAATAAATACTGATACTCATACGAATACTAATACATATACTTTTATGGTGTTAGCAATCATGCTATCGCCAATGCCAACACTGACATTGGTAATTCGTTGAATAGTAGAGATATCGCCAGTATGAGTACCAGCATCAACACTTGTATTAAGGCTAATACGACTATGCATAGTTCTAATACTAGTACTAACATGAAAACTCCTACGAATACCAATAATCATACTCAAAATGATATGAATACTCATACCATTTCTAATAGACACCTGCATGTACGAATGTACACAGAAATACATACCACCATCTTAAATTAAAACACAGATATGCATCAATGCATTCATGTACTATGTTTTAGGATAAGCATATACCCATATACTAATGTAACACTATACTAATTGTTGATGTATGAATACACCCTACGAACACTACTGTCCTTTGCCCGTATAACGACATGTTAAGTTAGTATACCCATATGCCAACATACTTATACACTTATAAATCATTGGACAATGCACGAAAATGGTACATTTACTAGTATAGTAATACACCAGTATACTAGTGTACTCATGCACCAGTGGTACTAACATGTTACATATACTCATATACAAGTGTACAACATGTTACTGCTCGAATACATTCATACTAACCTGCTAATATGCGGTACATGGCATGTTGGAAGTATACGTTGTACATGTTTTGTCAAGATTTTACTTTGCAGATTCTCATCGTGTGTGGTGTGTTTAAAGACAATATCTCAGCCGAGTCACCTGCCTAGAGTACACTGTCACAAGGGCATGGTCTGTCAACGGGAGGGGGTGAGCTAATAATCTATATATATATATATATATATATATATACACATACATACACCACAGATACGTGCATTTGTACATAAATTTTAAATAAAGACCTTCACCGAAACATCCCGAAAGCTGCTCCGAGGTGCCTTTTCCACTCGCGCCGTGGCGCGAGAAAGTTGGCTCTGGAGCCCCTCGCGCGGAGTGCAGATGTGGCCAGGGCACTATGTATCACTATGTTTCTCAGGATGTATGAGACTAAGCCCTAAACCCTATAAACCCTATAAGCCCTAAATATACCCGGATGCTATGAGCTCAACAAATTTGGACCCGGCACTCAACTCTATCCAATGAGCCAGGAGCCACGTCCAGCCAGCGGCCAGAAACCTTAAACCCGAAGAACTTTCAGGATATTCAGTCTTGGCCTTGGGATCAGGGTTTGTAGGAACACTCGATACATTTTTCCAGCTTCTCCACTCAGCAATTCTTCTGTGAGAATGCATTGCGCACGGAAAGGTGGGAAAACTCGTTTCGGGGCGGAGCTCGGAGGAACAGACAGCATTAGATTCAGGGTGCTGAGCCTGGTCACCCATAGTTCTGAACAATAAACCTTGAAGACGGTAAGCGTGGCCGTTTTAAATCCCGAAGCTGAAACAGCAGAAACCCACCTCGTAAGACTCGTGATCTTGAATTTGCAGATGCGCGTAAGCGGATAAACCTGTATGTTACGACGACGTGACGGGCCTTCTAAGGCGGCGCGAAATGGAAGGGAGCTCAGCAAGAATATCATATAGGGGCCTTCATAAATGGAATAGGGTTTTCGGGCCCCCTATACTATAATTATAATCAGGAGCCCCCAAAATAGTACAGGTAATGTTCTCTCTCTCTCTGTGCCGTGCCATCATCAAGAGTCTCGCAATATTGGTTATGTTTAGGCCCTTATATTAATGGCGAAAGAGGCCTTCAGATACGATCTGCTCGACGTGTGAGCAAGCCAGGGACGAGACCAAAGCGTAGACAACCAACATCAAGGACAGGCCAAAGCCGTGGCCCATCATTTTCTCTTTGCTATGCCCCCGGATGTGGCCAGAGCATTTGCCTCACCCTTCGACCCTGCCACCCTGTCCCCCATCCCTTCAAACCGAGAACTGCCACACCGGCAGATACCCTCCTGCTCTACTAACAGATGGGAACTTGTAGGAAACTTTGGAAATGTCATTAATACTTTTATAGGTCGAGAGAACATCCGTGAACAATGAGAGCATTGAGGACCTATGCCTGAAGGGACATGGAGGCTACACGTCACTTTTTCTTGATGCCCCTTCTCTTCGTCTTGTAGATGTAAGCTTCTCTTGGTCCAGAAGCCTCATCACACACGTGTCCGATGGAGAGAACCTTCCCTCACGAATGGCTTCGGTCCACGCAAGTCAACGCGTTGATGAGAACAACAAAGCGCCCTGAGAATGCCACCTATCGTAATCTTTAGTAAATGGTTTCCATTAAAGTGCTCCCTATGGCACCTATCGTAGCTTTAGTAACTTTTTGTAATACGTTCCGTTAAAGTGCTCCTTATGCCACCCGTTCTCGGATCTCTGCAAGCCCTGGATACCGCCTGCTGCGTGCGCTCGGCGTCCACCAGCTGAGATTCAGACCGCCGAGCTTCCACGGACATGGCCTGGCGGTTTTTAACAACCCGAGACCTAAACCTAAACCCTGAGCCCTAAATCCCTAAACCATAATCCCCGCAAGGGATACCATTACGGTTTTTGATATCAACCCACTACGATGTAGCACCGTATAGAGGCCTTAGACGACGAAAGAGCCTGTGGACCCTTGGTGCCTTCATGCGCTCTTCCACGGCTTGCACCCGACGGGACATCTTTGTGCCCTCAAGGATCAGGTTCTCTTTCTCCTGCAATATGTCGATGCCACGCCGCCGCTACTAGTACTTTGACGGCCCAAAACTGAGGTCCGAAATTCCGAACACTGACAGCAAGTCGCCGATCTCGATAGACGTGAAAGGACTAGTCTAGCGCCTGCTAAGTTATATTATAATGCAGTCATATCTTGATTTGAAGCTCCGAAGCCTTTAGCTCAAAGGCTCGCAACATCACCCATTAATATTCCTGGACCCTTTGCGGGCACGTCGAAGGTCCACGCAACGTGTGCACAGATGTCTTCAGAGGCTGAGAAGTAATTTGCTCCCTGCCTTGCTTGATGTTTCGGGTTGGGGGCCTAGCGTTATGCTGCTTGGGTAAGCCAGGAGTCGGGTGTTAGCAGGGAGGGTGTAATGATGCAGTGTGAATGTCGCCGAACATTTCAAGAACCCAGAGCTCCGTCCCAACAACGAGAAAAGCAAAACTTTACGGCCCTTTTCTGCTGCGGGACTCGAGTCTGGCCAGACCGCGTCCTGCAATCATTGCGGCCCTAAACCTTACACCAGAATCCACACCCACGCCCAACACCGTACTTGCGGAAACTTGACCTGCTGCCGGAATCTGGTGCGATCGAGCTGCAGCCTTTAAGCCGCGGTTTTCGCGGATGAGCCTCTCCCGCTCGGCTTGCCAAGCCTCTAGCTGCTCCTCATGAATGTGTGTACAGGTGTTTAAGCATTAATGAGAAAATCTAAGTAAACACAACATGATGTGAATCTAGATAAACAGTTTTTGAACTGTGCGTAGGCATTACGAAAGGTTGTTCGATCATGTTATGCATTGCCGTATCATATTGCAACTTTTTCGGCTATGGAACCATCCCTACATACATGCATACGTACATTCATGAATGCATACATACATACACAGACACAGATATATCTTTGTGTATATATGTATATATATATATATGTATCTTTGTATATATATATATATGTATACCGAGAGAGAGAGAGAGAGAGAGAGAGAGAGAGAGAGAGAGAGAGAGAGAGAGAGAGAGAGAGAGAGAGAGAGAGAGAGAGAGAGAGAGAGAAAAAAAGGAAGAAAGAGATACGTATGCATACGTACATATATATATATAGAGTGATATGTTGTATCCGTTTGCTTTTTTTCCATGCCCTGCAAAACCACCCAAATGAGTTCACTATTGCACCGTTCATTGCCCCTCACAATTTTATGAACTATTCACCATTCCACCTTTCGTTGCCCCGTATGATCAGGCCCCGTCACAATTTCACCACTTCACCACGTGAGGCATGCTGGTAATAGCAGTCGCCTTAATAGAAGGAAACTGAACTGCTGCTAATGTCTGGGCTGGCGACAAGTCGGCCAAGTCACCGGCAGCACTCCAAGCTATAACAAAAACCTGACCCAATGTGTAAGTAAGTTTCAATATTCTCAAACTATACACAAGTCCAGACTAGCCAATCTGATCTCCTTAGGCGGCTGTGTGACTTTGGCCGAATTGCAGAACTTCGCAATCACCGCGGGCACGAGTACAAAAAAGTTTGCCATGAACACACACGCAAATGGCTGGAGGCAGGAGTTGTCACGGCTACTGTTATGGACAGAGTTGGCTTGTTCGTGTTTTTGCAACTGGATTTGGCTAACATGGGTGGCTTTGTCTCCGTCTGTGCCGTTGCAGTGTGAGTGAAGTCTGTATTTCCTCTTATTTGAGTATAGACTGCTTTGTGCAGAGAAGCTTACAGAAAAATGAAAGCAGACACAGATTACAGGAAATACCAAAGCACGGCGAACATAGCAAGACGAAGGTATGGCCTGTAGCCTCATTGTTGCTCGGGTAGGTCTTTGTGCTCTTGAATTGCAGGTCAGAGCGTGCTAACTGTAAAGGTACGCGATCCAAACAAGAATGGAAGCACCCATGCTACCCACATAACGCTGCATACAAACATACAGACATGCATACATATAGGCAGACAGACAAACAGACTGCGACACAGAAGACCGACAAACATACGTACAAAGGTAGATGCCGTGTAGTGGCGACCTACAAATACATGTACATGTATATGTATACCTATGTATATATATATATATATATATATATATATATATATGTGTCTGTACGTGCCTCTCGGTGTGTGCATGTATGTATAGGAAGTACGAGTATATGTATATATGTACATGTTTACATGTACACGTACAAGCACATATACATTTTTAGCACTCGCACTCGAACAAGTCAGGCGAGGTACTGGATGTTCAGATACAAATGCAAACTGAGATATGCATCCACATTTTCATTGAGACATGTGTGTACATGTGTATACAGCAACGTCTGGCATAGGTTTGAACACCGACAAGTTTAGCAGTGCAGAGATCAGTTGAATAAACAACACCGTCACAGGGTCAGGCCAGGCCAGGCAGTCACCACCAGCAGTGTCTCAATCGCACGGATGACTTATAACAGAACCCGACGTCTTCTCTGAAATGAGCGCAAAACTCCAAAGAAGTCAAGCACTCCAACCTTCCCAGACTAAGAGAACGTCCTCCCTCAGTAAGGCCTAACTCATGCTAGTAGTCCTTAATTAATTGAAGACGAAGCTTCATTAGTCAGGCATCTACGTTAGCATGTGCTGTGCCCAACACCCGGGTCCTGCATCTGCGCAGTTTGTGCAGCGCTGGTGGCCTCAACTCGTCTGCACAAAGAATGCCCAGGCAGCTACGAGTCAGACGGTATCCCACAGGAATCCTAGAGCCATGGTTCTGAATCCACATGTCAATATCTGACATACGTGCTTAAGTGAGATCATTGACCGTAAGGTCCGGAAATTTTGCGAGAACCATCGCAAGCCCTCCTTTGCAAGAAGCAGATGCAACCTTTCGGTCCCGCTTGCTTGGCTGCCAGCCTCAGCGGCCTCGCCTTTTTCAGCCCCTGGGTCCTCCGCGACATCCAAACTCTCTTGGCATTGACATGGTAGATACCGGAAGGCTAGTCTACTTGCGCGAACACACCAGGGTCTGCAGCGAAGCCACAAGCAGGGCATAGCCATGTGACGGCATGGTAATGACTTCTGTGCTCGGAACTATGCGCACATCTACATATACAGGCACAGAAAGATATACGACAGATTGGTACATACATGTAACATATTACTCAATCATGTGTACCGCAAAGCCCGGGCAAGCAAGCAACACGGTGCGCAATTTTCCTAGGTCTCGATTTTCACAGTGTGGCCCACCACCGGCAGTTTAAGCCGGCAATGGGAAATGGCGTGCCTTGAAGTAGTCCTGTCGGTCTGGTCAGGAGCAGTATAGTGTACTCCGTTGAAGGAGTCCAATACAGCAAGTCCAACCTACGCGCATGCCCGGGTCACCCTCTGGGGAAGAAGAAAGAATTCTGAAGCCTCGATGTAGCTGTGGATGACGACGATTCAGAAGCCAATTGGTTGGACATCAACCGCTCTAGCAACGTTCGCTTGCACAATAATCGCTGTAGCCGTCTCCCTGAGGGCTTGAAACGAACAACTGTCTGACGTACAAGCAGTCTTTGAGAAGGAGGTGTGTCTAGCTGAGCTTGCTCACCCAATGCTTTGAAAGTTCTCTGGTATCTGGAGTGTCTACTGCTCAACCCGATGGAACATAAAAGTAGTATGTTGCAAATAGCGAGCTATGTCCACATGAAAATGCTCTTCGTCTCCTGACCGTGCCGACCTCCGGCTTGCCATGCAGGAGCTTAATTAGTTCACGGATGGATTTTGTGCGCGAGCGCCCGGCAGCTGACCGAAGCATGATTCAACAGACTGCGCTGTAAATGTCGATGTCCAAGTCATACACACGCAGCTGCTTTTTGGCCTCTTATGTCGAGGCCTGCAGTTGACAAAACGAGCAAGTCTTGCCTTGCTCGTCTCTGCTGGCGTTTAAATGGCGAGGGGGCCATCGGGACTGCACCTTCAGGCCGGTGAAACACATCATGTTCATATGGGCACGGGGTATGTTTCCACCCCGTGTCGGAGTCGGAGCACTCGCCCACCTGCAACTACATGCTGTAAAGTTGGTTGTGGTTTTTGCATTTAGTTCAGCAGGCGCAGACGACGCCAATGCATTCTTCCGTTGGTCGTCGTGCTCCTTAAAAAATGCTATTCCGTTGGCATACTCAGCACTCCTCGATCTCGATTTACTTTTGTCCGCGAAAGCGTTGGATCCATACCTCGTCCCACACCGAGCGGCGGGCCTCACCGCTGAAGCAGGATTCGCCAAGGCAAAGACGGTTGCCGGGCTCCAACTGCAGCATGCAATCGATCAACTGAGCAAGCTCAGCGCTGAGGACCTCCGACAAGTGCTCCGTGCCCTTGCGTAACTTTCTCTTCTTCAAGAACTTCATCAGGCCAAACGTGGAGATGTACTCAAAGAGCTGGCATGAGCTCTTCTTGGTGGAAGTCCAAGGGTAGTCCTGCACTGCCATCGCAAAGAGAACGACACCCAGGGCAAACTCGTCGGCCAAGAAGGCATCGTACTCGGGACCGTGCATCTCCGGAGCCTGGTAGGATTGCTTACCACGGAGCTCTCTCTTGCAAACCCGTTGGGTGGTAGACATTCCGAAGTCGATGAGCTTGACCTGCATCGAGCCTCCATTATCCGTCAGGAGAATGTTCTCCAATGACAAGTCTCGATGTGCCACACCTAGGTCATGAAGCCAACAAACTGCCGTGAAGATCTGCCCGACAATGGGGAGCATGACCGCCTCCCTGGCGGGTCCTGGGCGTGGATCTCGATCGCACCAAGAGAAAAGGTCCCCTTGCGTAGCTAATTGAACTGTCACGTATGTGTTCTCTTCGTCACGAAAGACACCGATGAGCTCACAAGCATATGGATATTGGATGGTGTTCAAATACCTCACGAGGCCGATGTCCACCCATGGACGTTCTGAGGCTGTCGGGTACTGCTCATTGAACTCCCTGTCTCCTTCGCGGACCCACCTGTTCGGCATCCTTTTCACGGCAAACTTCTCTCCGCTCTTCTTCTGCATCAAATCCACACGTCCATGATTTCGAACTGCTTCCTGCAAGAGCGAGTTGAGAATGTACTCTTCTGGGTCCCATGCTTGAACGCCGCTTGTCACTGCGTCTATGGACTCCTGAAGCACCTGGTTCGAGACCTGCTCGGTGATCTCGCGTGCTTTCGTAGTCGTAGGTGGCCGTGGAGGTGCTGGAGGAGCTGGTGTGGGAGGAGCTGGAGTATGCACAGGCGCTGAACTCGGACTTTGATCAACTGGAGGAGAGCTGGAGGGGAACATTCCACAAAAGAAAGCAGAAAGTTTCGTCATGGCGACCAACTCCAACTTCTCGATGTTCTTGGCCAGGCGTGCTCACATGGGCGACTATCTGCGAGCCTACCCTGCTACGTCCCGGCTGCCAGCCAGGTCTTGAGCCAGGACAAATTGAAAGTTCAATTCCATCTGCAGGTGATACTTTCAGCTGCCCCTTCAAAATGCAGGCGTGCGTGGGTCTGCAATGTCGAAAAGCCAGCGCTAACGCGAATGTTGCTAGTTCAGCCCTCTGGCCTGAGCAGTGGTGCTGGTCGAAGGCAAAGCTGGGCTCACCTGCGCTACAGATGCTTGGTTGGAGGCGAGGGGCTTTTTGGGTGCAAGATTGAGCCAATAGAGTCTGAGCTAGCACGTACTGTAGAGAAGGCGGGAGATTGTGAACAGCCCAAGCGTTGGTGCAACACGGTTGGTGTCTGTTGCTGACGAAAACTCTCGCTTCTGCGCACCCGAAATTCCCACAGCAATCATGTGCACCGGTCCCAGTCTTCGCATTCTTTCTGTCCTTGAGAAGCCCAGCACGCAGCCGCCGGATGTCATAAGAAAACAATGCGCCAACAACCGCTCAAACGTGTGTCTCGGCTCCAATCGTCAACCCGCTGCCCTTCACTCTGAATGCATGGAAACAAAAAGGTCCAGAGATATAAAACATACATAAACCGGAACGGAGGAGGGACTGAGACCGAGAGAAAGATAGAGACAGACAGACAGAGAGACAGAGAGACAGACAGACAGACAGACAAAATCACACATGCAACGCAACGACAACGACCACAGTTGCGCTTCGTACATGTAGCCGTGTAAACCCAAACCTCGGATTCTGTCCTCAAAGCCTTGGTTGCAAGATGTTGCAAGACCAGACCCGCCATGCTTTCCCCACCGTCTGCCTCCTTGGCTGCACTTTGCGCTTTGGCGGCGCCCTTCTCCGCAGCCTCCGTGCCCGATTGAGGGACTTATGTATATTAGCAACTGGGACATTGGCAACGTGTGAACATGTGTATACATTCTCGTCTGTGTGTGTGTGTGCGTGTGCATGATATGTGTTCGCTCGTCTGTCTGCGGCATGTTGGTAAATCACCGCAACCTCTAGAGTCTGTCAGCAGGATTCACAGATTAGGCGGTATCTTTGTGCCGTACTACGCGATCTATCACACGGAAGCTTGGCTCCATCCAATCATTGCCACAGATTTCAGGCTGCTTGCACAGTTTGAGTTCAGGGTGATTCTCGGCATTGCACGTATCGCAATCGCGACCGCGGGCTTGTCCAAGGGTTTCGAAGCTGACTCGCTTTTGCTGCCTAGAAGATCGGGGCGGGCGCGGTGTTGAGTGCGAATAGCAAAGGCCAAGGAATGGGCCTGTTAGGAGGGGTGACTAGTCTGGGTCATGACTACAGTGCTCAGAAAAAGAAACCCCTGCTCCATCTGAAATATCCTGGCTGCTATCTTTGCTTCATAAACTCGAACGCCTAATGTGCAAAGCGGGTCGGAATGTCTGGGGCCTGGCTCAAGCCTTGGACCACCTGCATTGTGGAGATGTCCTGGCCAGGGTACAGGAGAGACCATGCAAGCTTCCCGGCTCTTTGAGGTGTCGGGCGAAAGTCTCAATTGGACTCGAGGCTGCCTCAACGCTTAGATGTGGGAGTTTCCGAAAGAGGGACCGTAGTATAGGACCCTATTAGGGTACTGTATACCTCCGGGTAACCCTAAGTATATATAGTAGGATCCTTATTATAAGGACCCCCAAATAAGGTACCCCTATAATTTTCGAAAACTCCCATATCAATGCCAGATATACACGGATCAATGGTCTGGGTATCCCGCAGCGTCCTCCTGTAACTTCCACGAGGCCCTCGTAGCCGATAGTGAAAATTGCGTATAATATAGAAATAAGAGTAAGTGGTAATCTCCAGATCGGGGAAACTTGTATCTGGCCTCTATAGAGCCTGTTGGGCGTGACTACACTTATTTGGACACCTGCTGGGCCCCGATGCTTCCATAAACTAAACAGCAAACCAGCCAGGCAGCAATGGTTGTTGTTTCTAGTTACAGTTACAGTACTAGTTTGTGTGCCCAGAAGAAACCATAAACGAAGCAGTTCCCGGCAATGGTGGCTAGTCCTCGGGGTTCAAGGCTTGATTGAAGTTATGGCTTGCTATGTTCTGCACTCCCATACATGGGGCTAGGAAAATTGACTCCAACCCCGAACCGGAACTCTTTCCGCAACGAGCTGTAGTCGGCCGCAACCCTCATCAAGCTATCTGGCCCCCTGTCATGTTCTTCCTGTATAGATAATCATATGCCATGCCCCCAGTATCCATCTATCTGAAACTGGTTACATACACAGGTACACTGCATACGATATACTACCGATATATACCGCGCATATTCGAACATTGGCCCCGCAGGCCTCCTCCGAGCGGATAGCTTCCTCGAAAGACTTCTCCATCTGCTCACGGAGTCCTTGCAGAGGGAACGCGAGGTCCAAATCAAGGGAAAGAAAGATGCAGCCTCTTAGGGCTGTATAGGCTTTTGAGCAGGCTTCTCTCGCCCTAAACTGAACCCTCTTTGCATCCGGGCTTGGGAAGTCGGCCGGGGAAGGTGAAAGGCAACAGCAGCATCGCGCCAAGCTGTACTAAACTGAACCCTTTTTGCCACTGGGCTCAAGTCTAGCCAGTCTACGACCCACAATCATACTAAACTGAACCCTAAACCCAAAACCCAATTTCCAAAGCTGACGCGGAAAATCGATGCCTTCTGCCGCTCCCTGGAGCGACTTCAAGGTCTGCAGGCCGCTCCTGGGTCCGTCGGAGGCATAGGGTTCAGGGTATGTATATGTATATGTATATATATATATATATATATATATATAATTATACATTTATATTGTATTATATATATATATATGTATAAGCTTGGGGGATCCCACTAGGATTGGTGAATTTTTACACTTTCGCAACTCACACATGCTAGACAAGGTCTCACAGGTTCTGTCGCACTGTTTGGGGGTTGGGGGCTTGATCTTCTTGGGAGCCTAGATGGGGTCTACGGCTCACCAATTTAGAGCCCAGTCTTCAGGGTACATCGGGATTTGCAAAGGTGCGGAACTCAGTGTTGAATCCGTCAGTGTTCGGGCCTTGGACGACGTGAGATTCTCAGTATACTCCCAGTCCGCGACGCAATTGACATACAATTCTCCGAACTCCTGGTAAGCCGCCTTCTAACCAACCTGACTCAAAGAAGCAAAAGCAAGCCCTGCAGCCGCATGGGTCCATAAAGCATCAGCTTTCGCAAACGTACACCCTTTGAACGCAAATTTCAAACACCGCGCTGTAGATTCGTAGATCCTGCAATGCAACTCCTGCCAGCACAGCTTCAAAGCCTCCGCCCAAGTGCCGCCTTAACCGTAAAGTTATCTGCACCCCCGAATGCCGAATGGCTCAACAGCTGAACATCACCTCAGCCTTTTCATCAAAACAAGAAAGTGCCTGGAATGCTCCAACACTGCGACACTTACCTAGGCTTCACGAGCGAGCCTTCAGACCCATCCCATCCGCCTTCGCTTGATTAAACAAGCCCAGGGTGCGTGAAGAAGCTGGTTCCCGTGCGTGGCTTCGCTTCGGAGCTTTCTGGTGCAGCCTGGGTTCAGGATCTAGGGCTTAGGGGTTGGGGTTTTCGGGCTTTAGGGTTTTAGGGTTTAGGATTCAGCATAGTTGAGTATATACTGGCGCAGGGGGATATGACTATGGCTATTGCAGGCCAATACCTCTGCTGTCAGGGCTAGCTGTGGAGAACCTGCCTATTGCTTTTGGGGCTTGATCGTGGCTTGTAGGGCTCGAACTGATAAACTTGCAGTTGGAGTAGGGCATCAAATTTCCGACCGTTTATCCAGAGAATGCAACTCCTGCATACGTTAATTCAAGCATAGCAGGAACGCCCTTGCAACCGGAAACCGCTGAACCTGCAGCTCCATCAACAAGTGAGTGCTGAGATGCGGTGGATTCCGGCTTGGGCGCGGCTACAGTGTCGCTGCTTTGCGTAGCAGGCGTGGACGATGCCTTAAGAGGGCTTGAGGCTTGACCGATTCAGGATAATCACGAGGTGATTAGCGTCTGACTCTGGACTGGCGTCCTGGGTTTGGGTGCGTCATGCGGATACGATGCATGACTCAAAAGTCTTCCTGAAATTCGATATTGTCATCTGGGGTTGTGCATTCACCGCGAGGCCAGACAGTACAAGCCTGCGGTTTAGGAAGCCACTGTTTGGAGCATGCAGATGCTGCTATGTTCAAGTTCCGTTTTATGTTGTGTCCCTGTCACCGTCTTTCTCCAACGACGCTAGTTGTTCAGGCAGCAGCCGGATTCTGAAAAGAGCTCTGTGACTGTCAGCGCTCGACGACTAGATGATCCCTGCCGAGTGGGGCGATGCAACAGGAGGTAAACACATGCGCTGGGGGGAACAAGCCACTGTACATGCAATTCCACGTCGGCACGGCCTATCAATAGTCAGTCGAAATAACTGCCATTGTCGACTCAACGTCTGCCCACAAATGCCACGATGAGTTCGATCTGCCTGCTGAATATAACCCCAATTCCTAAACCCCGCTGCAACCTGGATGCGTTTTGTGTTCTCTCTGCGCCAAGCAGCTCAGGCAATGGCCTCGGATTTGCAATAACTCTTCAGACGGCCACCGAACACTGCAGGCAGTGCGTTGAGGATCTAATGTGGGGCCTGAATAAAAATGGGCTTGGGGGGCGCATTATTGCCATGACTATAACTATCTCAAGAGACCCTGAACAAATTTCTCTCTCTCTCTCTCTCTCTCACTCTCTCTCTCTCTCTCTCTGCCGTGCCATCTTAAACCAACTGGTAATTATGAGGGCTTCAAACTCTTAGTAAAACCGAGTTCACGTCTCCAGCATGTCGCCAGAAGGCTAACCGTTCGTTCATGGTGAACCTCTATGCGCAAGAACATCCCAAAGCGGATCTGCTCAGCTAAGCCGAAATCAAGCACCTGAACCACCCTGGAACCCTAAGGCATTGCAAGAAAAGCCAAGACGTCTCGGGAGCCAGGGCCGTGATGCCCAACACAACAGGACTTGCAGCAGTTATCTGGGTTGTAGTTTTGGGGCTCTGAAAAGTATTTATGAATAGGTACCTCTAGAGGAACCATCAGGGAAATCAACACGTTTCCCAAATTGCCACCTAGTTATGCTTTTATCCTCTCAATCAGCTCCCTGAACGAGACCCGAGTTCCTGAAGCTGTGGGAGCCTGCAAGTGAAACTCGAAAGTGAAGTTCCGTGGCTGAAGATGGATTCCGACAGCCGTTTGTTCAGGCACCGTCCAAATTAAGTACGGTAGGTTACAAGCAGTTGCTGTAGCAGACATACCAGAACCACGGACACCAAATGATGCTGCCATGTCTCGGAACCTCGTACTTCTGGCAGACGGACTGCAGGCAACACAAAACTAAAGACTGCAAAGCGTGCACGTTTAACGCTTGAGTAGAAATCCCCCAAAAGTTGTAACTACAGTTTCGATCTCCTCGCAATGTTCGATTTTCCAGAACGCAAAAACACATCAAGAAATCCGCTGAGAGCCTTAATAGCAACTGCCCGACGCTTAGTCGTGCAGCCATCAAAAGTTCCAGGGTCTGGTCTGTTGTCAAGCGCTGTGTGACGTGGAGCCTGGTACAGCACAGGCAGCTGTTCGATGTACTTGTCCACGAGCCTATCCTCAGGATCAAGGGTCAAGTCATCTTGATCTTCGACACACACACACACACACCCACCACGCTTCTTTGTAATCCTGCGGCTTGTGCGGGGAAGATTCCACTTCGGCCAGCTTGGCGGGGTTGTGCTCCTGGTAGATAGCCTCGAAGCATGAACTTCAGGCTACACAATTGCAACTCCGAACGGCGGCAAACAATTTTTTCTTCCAAGTGAGCCAGGAGGCTGTGATGTGCCGTGTGTAGAGAGCCCTTCGTTCCTGCAGGTTGCACTTCAGGTAAAATATGAGATCACGTGCAGGGAACTCAAAGCCAGAGGGCCTAGCAATGCTTCTTGCCGAAGCCTTCCCGCATAAAAAGCCCTGTTGCCGTCTCAGACATGTAAAGTCTCTACCAACCAGCTCTGTTCCGTGGGAGCCTCGGCATCTGTCTCGGGCTCCTCCTCGCTGTACTTTGCGCGCACTGCACGGTAGAGACCCTCAAGACCTGTGCATCTTGGAAGAGAGTGGCAGGAGAACACCCTGAAGGAGTCGGAACCAGTGCATCAGGCTGCAGATTTAGGCAATACTGCCGGCAAGTGCTCCCTGAAGCCTATTATTGTCAAGCCTTTCAAGCTGCGGCCTTTAGGGGCCCCAAGATGTCCTGATTGTGGGTTCTATGATCAATAAACCGCAGAACACCGTCATGGCGGAATCCACGAGGAAATCCGAAGGGTGTGAATGCTACGCTGAACAACATACGATAAAGCAAAGCACCAGTCAGCCGATGTGAGGCTTTCAGGAATACGAAGGCTTAGAAAATCTCCTGATTTGTAAACCCCCCCCCCCCCCGCCCCGCCGAACATCCTGAATCCGCATTAGGGGGGGTGGGGGGTCGCCTCCCTGATGATCTTTAGTTGTCTGGGGGGCCGGGGGGTCTAAGTTGCTTGGGGGCCGGGGCTCTCAGTTCTGTGTCTCCTCTACCTTGCCTGTCTCTGTCTCTCCTTTTCCAGGGCGTCATTTTGTAGTGGGAGTGTTTATTTACCTAAACCTTAAAACAAAGACCGGGACGGGAATTACGACTATTGAGGGGGGGTTTATTATTTCGTGCAGCCCGAGTTTAGCTCTATTGCGGGGCCTTTCCACTATTGAGTTCCGGGCCGAGTTTAGCTCGATGTTACTAATCACGAGCTCACATTGAAAGGCTTCGGCTTGGGTGGCGTTCCCGGTGATGTATGCTGGCATAATTATTCAAGACCCTAAGGCCCCTCAACTTTCACAGTACTCCCCCTGATTGCGGCCACCACGCGCTCGCGATACCTGGACAGAACCTGCGGGTTGTTAGCATCCGCGGGCCGGCTCAAGATCTGCTCGCGGTATTTACCTCAAGTTGGGATGTCGGGCTTAGGTCTAATGTAACGGTCCGTTTAGGAATATGGGCTCCTTTAATGCGTCGGCTCGGGGGCTAATTCCGAATCTGACAAAAAAATTGGCTTGTTCTAATTAATGCGTTTTTTTTTGGCTGGGGTGATTTTTTGGTGGCGGGGCTGTGCTATTTGCTGATGGTCAATCTTAAGGCAGCCACGACCTAAACCCCCACCCAAACCCCCACCCAACCCTAAAACCCTGGCCCTGAAGCCCGAAAATCTCTTGCAGAATTGTTTCGCTTATTGGGGCGTCAGGAATGAAAATCAGTACTACTACTGTACTACTACTGTACTACTATTCTACTATACCTTGATTATTGGGGGGGGCTGCTAGGGTGAACCGCCGAATCGGGGATTGGACCTTAGCTCAAAAGAGGCCTCTCCAGTACTAAAGTTTGTATAAGAAATTAAGTTTTGGGTCGAATCTGGACCGACCCCCCTTTGGAAGGGTTTAGGGCTTAGGGTTCAGGGTTTGTTATAGGGTTTAGGAGTGTAGGATTCTTTAGGGTTTAGGGTTCGGGGTTTAAGGTTTCAGGCGCTGGCTTTATGCTTTGCTTATTGGGGGAATGTACTCACTGGCTTTATGCTTTGCTTATTGGTACTATTTCTGTACTATTACTGTATTACTACTGTACTACTGTACTACTGTGGTACTACTACTGTACTACTAGTGTACTACTGTACTACTATTGTACTACTACTGTACGATTACTGTACTACTATTGTACTACTGTACTGTTATCGTACTACTACTGTACTACTATTGTACTACCACTGTACTACTGTTGTATTACTATTGTACTACTGCACTATTATTGTACTACTACTGTACTACTACTGTACTATTATTGTACTACGGTACTATAATCGTACTACTACTGTACTACTACTGTACTACTATTGTGCTACTATTGTACTACTGTACTATTATTGTACTACTACTGTACTACTATTGTACTACCACTGTACTACTGTTGTATTACTATTGTACTACTGCACTATTATTATACTACTACTGTACTACTACTGTACTACTATTCTACTATACCTTGATTATTGGGGGGGGCTGCTAGGGTGAACCGCCGAATCGGGGATTGGACCCTAGCTCAAAAGAGGCCTCTCCAGTACTAAAGTTTGTATAAAAAATTAAGTTTTGGGTCGAATCTGGACCGACCCCCCTTTGGAAGGGTTTAGGGCTTAGGGTTTAGGGTTTGTTATAGGGTCTGGGAGTTTGGGATTCGTTAGGGTTTAGGGTTCAGGGTTTCAGGCGCTGGCCCAGACCCCCCCGACCCCCGACCGCGCAGTCGCGCAGAACCGCAAACCCTACACCCAAGCCAGCCCCCAAACCCCGGCACCTCCCAATTCCCTGCCACTCAGACCGACCCCTGACCCCTGTCCGGGGCTACCGGTTCCATATTAAATAGAATTTTTTTTTTTGGTGGGGGGGGGGGGGGGGGGGGGTACCCCACTATTAAACGGGCCGTTACATTATAGACTTTACGGTGTCGAGTTGCTTGTTAATTATGGGTTCAGGGTTGCTAGTGTTGTCGGTCTCTGTTGCTTTATTGCTGTCAGCGCTTGTCGTGGTTTTGGAGTGCATTCCCACTTCCCGCATGCATAAATGTATGCGAAGACCATCCATCCATCTGAGTGAAGAAGACTGTCGCTATGCTTTCTCGGCATGGCCGTGATGTGAAGCTCTGAGTGGAGACCTCTTCTAGGATTAGCTGGCCTGGCTGCTCAGCGTCATGGGGTGCCTTCCATGCTCACCTTTTCATATTAGGCTATAACCAGCTCCTGCATGCATAAGACAGCGCGCCCACGAAGTTATGTGCAGAAGTATGCGTATATATCTTTATGACAGAAAATGCATGCACGTCTGTGATCAAGTCGATGTATCTCACAAGATATGTATGCATGCAAGTATGCATTCGGCTATCTAGTGTTTCTATGCCTGCTATGCATGTTTACTGATGCACATCTGCCCGGAGACTTCGTTTTGAACCTGGAGCGATGAGACCTCGATACAGCGTTCTAGAAGTTCTAGCAGATTCTAGCACTCCGACCCAGCAAAACGAGGACGAGAGTATTGTTGAGCTTAGCCGAGGCGCCCAGAATCTGATCCACATCCTCAGTAGGCAAGACTGCCAGCTTCGCCTGCACCCTGTGATAGTGACAGACTGCTGGTAAACCGCAAACAGAGGTCCAGGGACGAGCCACCTATAAACCCAACCAGGGCTTGCCATAAGGCCGTCGGTCTCTTGATTAATATATGGCCTCCCGCCTAAAGCGTTTTGGAGCTCAGGCATGAAGATGTCCGAACGTGGCCGACGGTAACTCTGGTTCTACTGTTGCCGTCGCTGTGTTCTTGCTGTGGAGCTGTGCTCCAAGAGACCCCGGAACAAAGCATTGTGCAAAGAAGGTCGTGGTTTGTAGATCCGAGCAGCAGACAGTCGATCCGGATTGTATCGCTCGTACACGGCCTTGACACGGCCTTCGTACTCCCCCAGCAGCTCCTTGGTGTTTCACCGGCAGAGGGCGTGATTTTTTACTTCAGCGGATGAGGGCGAGTCAGCTTCGGGAAGCAACGAGGCTTCGATCGGACGCCGAAAAACGTGGGCCTACAATTAAAAAAGTGCATGATTCAAGGGCGAAGGCAACCAAGTCTTGCTACCTACATGCACTCTTTGCCACAATGGGAGGAACCGACGGCTATGACGACCTACAGCAGGGGTTGTGCGCATAAAGTGCTCGCAGGTGCGGCGGAGGAAAAGCTGGCGATGAGAAGGCATAGACAGATATATATATATATATGTCTATATGCACACACACATACACACATACATATACATATATATAGCAACAGCAGTAGCCAGTTAAATAGACGGATAGATAGAGAGATAGATAATGATAGCTGGTCAGTCTTGCCGAACGCTTGCAAGTCGGGATGGGTCTGGAACTTAAGCACGATGTATTCTGACTCTAAGCATGGCGTGGTTCCAACTCTGAAACCTCATGTGCATCACCGAGGACATCATTGGCATCTCATCTGCAGAACATAATGACATAATACGGTGTCCACCTGTGAACTCTGAGAGTTGGGGCTGGTGTTGATGTGAGAGATATAAACGCGAAAACATCTATCCTCGCACATCACGGACATTATAGAAGTAGTATTACTAAGGTTAGTAAATTCGTAACTAGACCAACATATAATCATTAATCGTCAGAAGAATCACTCCCGGGGCCAGAAATCGATGCACACCTTCCGCCCTCACGGCCTGAGCGGAATCAAAAGCTGAGCCCGGCTCCAATGCTTTGTTTGAAGGCGGGGGTGTAGTCTCCTCTGCTGCCGCCGTGTCACTCCTTCAGCAAGCTTCTGAAAGCTTATCCCAAGGGTCCATGTGCCCAAATAGTATATACTTTGGCCTTAAAGTAGTCTCTGTATAGGTACTTTGGGGCCAAAGTATATACTATTTGAGTACACGGACCCTTAGGGTTAATGTTCGAGGTGCAGTTTACTTTGCTTTCTTCGCGCACGGGGCTTCCGGAGTTCAGCAGTCTACCCGCGCAGTAAACACGAAAAGCTGGCCCTGCATGGCTGGAGCCGCGAAGAACATTCCTCAACCCCAAACTCGGTGCTTGAAGGTTCATGGGACTTAGTAAACTGTGGTTATAAATAAGGTTACTATACCTATAATTGGTAATTACTAAGTCCCATGAACCCCCAAGTGCACACATCATGATCTCTAATCCCAAACTCCCCCAAGCCTCAGCGATGCATCTGACGCCTTTGCAGGTGAGATCTCGGACTCGTCCTCGAGCTCCTCATTAAGCTTTGGGCCTAATGTAGGGGCCTTAATAATTAGAATAGGGTTTTGCGGGCTCCTCATTACAAGTCTAGTGTATACCCGAAAACCCTATTGTAATCATTAAGGCCCCTACATTACAGATTACACGGTGGGACTTCAGGGATCTGGTTAACCTAAACACACTGGGATACTTCTGCAAGAGCGCGGCGAGAAATGGCCAGCAGAATAAATGGCTCAAACTCGAAGAACCCCACAGCTAAGGTGAGGACAATAACCATGACGACAGTCGCCTTATCGCCAGTGTGACTATAATAATGACACTACTACTCGTAGAAATGGTAGCCATAAATCGCACTGAGTTCCACGAGCAATAGTAATGACGACAGTCGTCAGAGTCCGAGAAGCAACAGCAGAAATTGCGATAAGAGCAGTAGTGGTAAGAAACGAGGAGATAAAAGTAGCAGTATTGATCACAGCAGCAAGGACACCACCACCAACAAACCTAAGCGACTCTAATTTAAGCGGTTATCGCGGACGTGCGACAAAGAAGCCTGTAGGCTCTAGAAGACATGATCATCAAGTCCCGGGGCTCAGAAAGCGAGAGTAGTGAACGGGCGAAGTAACAAACAAAAAACAATGACCACGTGAGTAGAAGAAGCCCTTCGTGAGTTACCGAGAAACCTTAAATTCGCCCAGACAACACTGGAGCACGACCGTGTAGGCTCCATTCCGCCCGCAAACATGCATCCCTCAACTCCTTCTTTGGCGAAAAAGGCCGCAACATCACGCATGAGGCTCTGCAATGTCATCGGCTGCGGGAGACTCCGGCAAACCAGAGAGGCAAACACACCAGTCGAAACAACATTGCCCACTCATCGGTCTGTGTCATCCATCGTCTCACTGCACATGCGGGCAGAAGGTAGAGGCAAACATCAGCGACGAGGTAGCCTTCCAAAAGAAGGGCAGAATGCCGAAACTCAGCTACACATCACTATACATGTCCTCCTTCCGTTGGCACGAGACCAAGACCAGTTGCACTTATGCTAAGCGCAGTACGCAGTAGCAAGTACAGTAGCATTCACGTTGCGCCTGATCTTGTGCAATTTCTCCGGCGCGAGGAAGGGAGCAAAGCGTGGGGACCCACGTGCTTGTGTGTCCGCGGCATACATCATCAGACTGCATAAACTATGGGCTGCCCTGCAGGTATCACTTGCCACAAGGAAACTACCTCCTTTGGAGCAGGAGAGGGCTTCGTCCAATCAGCACAGCCAATCAGCACAGCTAATTATTCAGTTCAGCAGTGGCATGGCGCATCAACACATCCAACTTGGGTATGGGCATGCATCAAGCATCTCCTGTGTGTGTGGGTGTGGGTGTATGGGTGGGGTGGGTGGGTGGGGGTGGGTGGGGGGGTGGGTGGGGTGGGGTGGGGGGGTGGGTGGGGGGGTGGGGTGGGTGGGGTGGGTGGGGTGGGTGGGTGGGGTGGGTGGGTGGGGTGGGTGGGGTGGGTAGGTGGGTGGGTGGGTGGGTGATGGTGGGTGGGTGTGTGTGTGTGTGTGTGTCTGCGTGTGTGTGAGTGTGTGTGTGTGTGCACGTAAACGCGTGCACATGTACGGTTACGTGTATCTGTCTGTCTGCCCGTCTGTCTGCCTGTCTGCGGGCTACTCTACTCCATGATTGGTCCTGCGTTCGTCAAACCATGTCAGACCTTTTTGCGGATGACCGTTACAATATGACTCCTGCGGCTCTGCAGTGTCGCCGGCGGCTGGAAGAACAGGAGAAACCTTCAAGCGAAGGACCGACTATAGATACTGCATAGGTTCATGTCCTCCACCTGCCCTGACCAAACAGGTACGTGCATTGCAGAGCAGCAGCTCAGAGTCAGAATGCTGAAGCCAAAAAAAACCAAAGCAAATTGGCGGAGACGTCAATTACATGTGCTCCTGAATGCGGGCCCTGCATGTGCACACCGTGATCGACGCAGAGCAAAGCGCAAAATGCTTGCCAAAAATATGCGTGCAAACCCATGCATCTCTACAGTACAGGTAATGCCTGCCAAGGGGCACTCTCCTCTGCTCGAATCGCGGCAGCACCTGATGTCTCCTGCGAGCAGGCGGAATGAACACATCAGCGGTTGCCTTGCATGACACAATATAATACTACAATAGAGAATATCTGATATGTCAAAAATGCCAACGTCAGATTCGAGTTCTGTACCAGTCAGTCGTTCAAACGGTCAAAAAAGGATTCAACTTGCCGAGGACGCAGTCATAAACCAACTCGCGGTGAACTCTACTTTCCGACGACTGACACACTCGTGATTCACCCCAGTGCCTGCAGCTGTGTCCAATCCTCGGCCAGCAAGCGGCCCTCCTTCAAGTCAGCATTGCATTTCACTATCTTGGGCAGCCGGAGTGCGACTCCATCTGGATGTGTCTCTTTGTAAGAGATTGGGACGCAACAGTGTATTCTGTGTTGTCAACCCGTCAATATCCTTTCACTATGCCTTTCACTGTATTCATGTGCCTACGAAGTAAGCGAAATGAACCTTGAACCCAGTGCCTGTTTTGCAGCCTTCGTCAAAAGCTTGCTATATACAGGAGCAACAATATGAAAGGCACAGTGTACCGGGAGTATGTCATGCGTTAACAGTATGTCTGGCCGCCTCTTCTTCAGCAGCTTTTTGAGCGGCCTCTTCCTCTGCAGCTATTCTTGCTGCTTCTGCAGCGGCTTCCTCTTCAGCAAGTTTTCTCGCCACCTCTTCTTCAGCAGCTTTCCGAGCGGCCTCTTCCTCTTCAGCTATTCTTGCTGCTTCTGCTGCGGCTGCCTCTTCAGCAAGTTTTCTCGCCGCCTCTTCTTCAGCAGCTTTTCGAGCGGCCTCTTCCTCTTCAGCTATTCTTGCTGCTTCTGCAGCGGCTGCCTCTTCAGCAAGTTTTCTCGCCGCCTCTTCTTCAGCAGCTTTTCGAGCAGCCTCTTCCTCTTCAGCCATTCTTGCTGCTTCTGCAGCGGCTGCCTCTTCAGCAAGTTTTCTCGCCACCTCTTCTTCAGCAGCTTTCCGAGCGGCCTCTTCCTCTTCAGCTATTCTTGCTGCTTCTGCTGCGGCTGCCTCTTCAGCAAGTTTTCTCGCCGCCTCTTCTTCAGCAGCTTTTCGAGCGGCCTCTTCCTCTTCAGCTATTCTTGCTGCTTCTGCAGCTGCTGCCTCTTCAGCAAGTTTTCTCTCCGCCTCTTCTTCAGCAGCTTTTCGAGCGGCCCCTTCCTCTTCGGCTATTCTTGCTGCTTCTGCAGCGGCTGCCTCTTCAGCAAGTTGTCTCGCCGCCTCTTCTTCAGCAGCTTTTCGAGCAGCCTCTTCCTCTTCAGCCATTCTTGCTGCTTCTGCAGCGGCTGCCTCTTCAGCAAGTTTTCTCGCCACCTCTTCTTCAGCAGCTTTCCGAGCGGCCTCTTCCTCTTCAGCTATTCTTGCTGCTTCTGCTGCGGCTGCCTCTTCAGCAAGTTTTCTCTCCGCCTCTTCTTCAGCAGCTTTTCGAGCGGCCTCTTCCTCTTCAGCAAGCTTTCTCTCCGCCTCTTCTTCAGCAGCTTTTCGAGCGGCCTCTTTCTCTTCAGCTATTCTTGCTGCTTCTGCAGCGGCTGCATCTTCAGCAAGTTTTCTCTCCGCCTCTTCTTCAGCAGCTTTTCGAGCGGCCTCTTCCTCTTCGGCTATTCTTGCTGCTTCTGCAGCGGCTGCCTCTTCAGCAAGTTTTCTCTCCGCCTCTTCTTCAGCAGCTTTTCGAGCGGCCTCTTCCTCTTCAGCTATTCTTGCTGCTTCTGCAGCGGCTGCCTCTTCAGCAAGTTTACTCGCTGCCGCTTCTTCAGCAGCTTTTCGAGCGGCCTCTTCCTCTTCAGCCATTCTTGCTGCTTCTGCAGCGGCTGCCTCTTCAGCAAGTTTTCTCGCCGCCTCTTCTTCAGCAGCTTTTCGAGCGGCCTCTTCCTCTTCAGCTATTCTTGCTGCTTCTGCAGCGGCTACCTCTTCAGCAAGTTTTCTCGCCGCCTCTTCTTCAGCAGCATTCCGAGCGGCCTCTTCCTCTTCAGCTATTCTTGCTGCTTCTGCAGCGGCTGCATCTTCAGCAAGTTTTCTCTCCGCCTCTTCTTCAGCAGCTTTTCGAGCGGCCTCTTCCTCTTCAGCTATTCTTGCTGCTTCTGCAGCGGCTGCCTCTTCAGCAAGTTTTCTCGCCGCCTCTTCTTCAGCAGCTTTTCGAGCGGCCTCTTCCTCTTCAGCTATTCTTGCTGCTTCTGCAGCGGCTGCCTCTTCAGCAAGTTTTCTCTCCGCCTCTTCTTCAGCAGCTTTTCGAGCAGCCTCTTCCTGTTCAGCTATTCTTGCTGCTTCTGCAGCGGCTGCCTCTTCAGCAAGCTCTCTCGCAGCCTCTTCTTCAGCAGCTTTTCGAGCGGCCTCTTCCTCTTCAGCTATTCTTGCTGCTTCTGCAGCGGCTGCCTCCTCAGCAAGTTGTCTGGCCGCCTCTTCTTCAGCAGGCTGTCGAGCGGCCTCTTCCTCTTCAGCTATTCTTGCTGCTTCTGCAGCGGCTGCCTCCTCAGCAAGTTGTCTGGCCGCCTCTTCTTCAGCAGCTTTTCGAGCAGCCTCTTCCTCTTCAGCTATTCTTGCTGCTTCTGCAGCGGCTGCCTCCTCAGCAAGTTGTCTCGCCGCCTCTTCTTCAGCAGGCTTTCGAGCGGCCTCTTCCTCTTCAGCAACACGCTCCGCTTCTGCGGCGGCTGTTCTGACGGCCTCCTCTTCAACAGCAGCATCTCTAGCAGCAGCTTTCTGGGCTGCCTCTTCTGCCTCTGAGGCTTTCCTTGGAATTCGGAAGCGAAGCGATTAGTACTGCATGGCTTGGGCAGTTTGCTCGCGATTCTCACGGGTGAGCCTGTGGAAGACCGAACGAACAAGGACTCATGAACGGCGACGGAAGTTAACAGCATCATCGAGTCTCTCCATCAGCCACATCAACGGAGACAAATCCCCTAGCGCGTGGTTCTGGAGTCAGCACACTCTGTACATGCAATTGACGCCCAAGACGCGGGCACTAAAGCTGAACAATATTGCCTAGAAACAGCCCCGATGACAACTCCTTTGGTCCAAGACTACAGAGCGAGTAGTCAAACCGAAGAGGCCTCATGACGATTGAAAACATGATTCGTTCAAACATGTTCACGCTGGCTGACGCTTTGCAGACAAGCCTCCTCGCTGCCTCTTCGACAGCCAAGGTGCCGGCTTCCTCTGCCACCTTCACAGCTGCGGCCGCAGCTGCTGCACTCTCCTGCATCAGGCATCAGCATGGAAAAAAAGTGCACTTCGGTCATCGACGAATAGCAAACCAAAGCATGCGGGCGTTGGGGCGGTTGTGGACCTACATGCCCCTGTGACGGACTTATGCGCACGCCCGCTGGTTTGTGGCATACCATTTCAGTGCGAGCATTAATGTCATACCCAGTCGGGCAACCATTCAGATCAAGGAGCTCGTCCAAAACACATGTCGTGAATGAAAGGTTGATTGAAATTGAACAAGCGAAGTCCCAACTGGCGAGAGGAGGTCTGTAGCGAGTCTGAAGCAGGCAGCCCAGAAGCGGATGCAGTGCAAGAGTATGCTCGACTGAAGTTACAAAATATCGAGGTTGAGATATGTCTTCTTCACCGGACTTGCGGTTCCAAACCCATCGAGCAGCCCAGGCAAAAGGATACTCGAGCTCTTGCGCTTCTTCTCGCTTTGTCCATCAGAATCTTGCATTGAAGGCCAACTTACGTTTGTCACCGGATGGATGCCGCTTGCTTCCGTGTCGCGCAGAAGGAAACAACTCAACGCATTTCACGGTTGCACGTCTTCGCTGGCACGAAAATCGTGATTGTAGATAGGTGACACTGATTCTTCCAATAGCCAGGGATGGCAGAATAAGGAACAACTTTCCGCAATGTTCTGCAACCACTTGCACTGCTGAAGCTCCTCTTGATGCTCCTCTTGTTCAGGCACCGTCTGTCCGTTGACCGTCACATTGGACCTTGAAGTTCCAGGTGCAGAGCAAAGCTTTCGGATCCTAATTACTAACTAGTCGCAAGCTTTGTGCTGCCCAGGTTATTCAGCACCTATACTCACGCAGGGCCCCTCTGCCAACTTCTTGATGTTGCAAGATCTTGGACGGGGCCTTTAGATTGGGCTATATCTAAGGTGGACTATCTCAGCTACGGGAAGCCACTCATACCGCCAAATTGCCGACACGAGATGATTGCTTGGGCAGTAGGGGGCATTCCAATTCCAGAACCAGCTGTTTTGGGAGCTGCTACAACTTTCGGCGCATCAGCCACCGCCGAAGTCCATGCGAGCAGTTGTGGGCCAGTTTTTGAGTTTTGCAAAGCCTCAAACGCCACTTGGGTACAGGTCACCGCTTTCGTTGTCCAACTCGGCAGACCTACACTGGAAGCACTCGACCGAAAGAAGGCCCGAACTTCTGAACTGAAGATGCGAAACTCGCACAGAACGCTTGATGCTGTAGCATTGACCTCAATGCCTCTGTCAGCCCTGGTGGTGTGCCAACCTTAGGGCCTTAGGGTGCATTCTGACGAATCCGCCGAAGGGCTCCTCTCCACGATCAGCCAATGCCTCCAGGTGTTTCATTTTCTCGCTGTCGACTACAGGTCTTGCCCTTTCGAAGTGACCACATGCTCATGCTGCTGGTCGTCCTTTGTGCAAGCGCAATCAACCATCACCAGCTTCATTGATGTCAGCATCAGGCCTGCAACCTCATCGTCAAATCATCAGCACTGCCGTTCATCGTCACCAACGGCAAGCACGCAGAAGCAGTACACTAGAGTTGCTTGCGTTTTGTAGTTTGCTCGCCGCCTTGCAGAATTTCGGATGAATGCTTGCATCAGCTCCATCTCGCTTGAGCTTCAGAAAGTGAAACAACAACTGAACCCTAACAGACTTTTTTGCTCTTTCGTGCTATAGAAAGGAAGACATCCGCTTGCCTACATCGACATAGATATAGATGTCGAAAATATGGACAAATATGCGGATATAGAGTCTAAAACATGAGATGTAAGACTGTGCATCCATAGTTTTGCTTATGCTCATAGTCATCCGCCAAACTGATGATGCGAATGATGGCTGCTAAACGGACAGGAGTGATTGCTCTACTTGGTCCGAAGTGGAGACACGAGTGGTCAGTTCTCGGCTGACTCTGTGGAGAGTCGGCAATCGGTACAACTTCTTGGTGGCTTGAGAGACGGAACAAAAACAGCCCATGGCCGTGCAGAACAAGCACTTTCAGAATACCTACCAACTACCTTGGGTATCCAGGGAAGTGCACGCTTTAGGCCCTCAAATGTCAAAGTAGATGCCTCGTCAAAGGAGCGTTCGACCTTCTCACGTAGGCCCTGGAGTCCTTCCTGAGGCCAAGAAGGACGCCAACAAGGGGAACCAGGCAGCTAACATAGCGAAGCCCGACTGCCCTTAACGAGAGTCTGGCAGGAAGGTACGACACTTACAAGATCTAGCCCGTGGGCGCTGGCGAAAGAAAAAGACCAGGCTCCTCATCCTGCAAGCCCGGAGCCAAACCCAAAACACTCTTTCGGTTGAAGCTGCGGCCGCCCCTCTGAAGGATTGCCTCGGCTAAGTGGCTTCCTGCTCTAGTGGAGGAGTCGTGGGAAGAACTTCGAAGCTAGCGGCCTTTTCGCCTGGGGCCTCTCGATCGGGAGTTTTCCAGCCGAGGACAAAGTAAGCACATGTCAAGCGTCTGGGTTGAGATTCTTTTGAACACTTTCGACCGCCCAGGCCCGACTTCAGTCAATTCAGGCTACTTGAAAGTCACGTGGATGCATTTGAAGGGATGCCGGGTGAAGGTCTGACGCTGTGGTTCCCTTCATTCAGCACGACATTAAGCTGTGTTTCGGGTGCGGTGAATCCCCAGCTTGTTGAGCAGCATCTTCTTGCCCCGAATTGAACATTTCAGCATCCCTCCCGCTCAGTCCCTCTCTTCATATGCTCCCCTGACTCCCTTGCTCACTCCTTGAACTCTTTCATTTCGGGCTATGCTCAAGAGCTGCACGTCCCTCTGCCGTACGGAGAAGTGTGTCCATCGCGCTCTCGCAACTCCCTGTAGCATACTGTCATGGGCCTGAACTAACCAAGAACTCGAATAATAATGTAGCTTCCTTGATACACTCTGCTTGTGCATCCTCAATTCAGTTGAAGGCCTGACATGGTAAGGCCCCAGTGTACGACCCCTTCCAACAGGCAGCCGATGTCACCGACCCCCTGAAATGTCCAGTGGCTCAGTGCGCCCACATTGCTAGACTGGAATCTGGCGAAAAGCATTCTAAATTGCCCCCCTTGCGCTCCTGCCCACCGTGCATCCTGGAGGCAGGGCCGACGTGGAGGTCAAAGCCCCAAGGCCCCCAAAGAGACCCCAGCCGGCTCCCTCCTGACTTGGCGATCGTGGTGAACCGCGCTTCGGCGTAAGGAGATAGGCCGAAAGCATGGTTTCGAAGGCTCTCCGCGGACAAGATGGGAAGCGCTGAGAAGCCACTTGATTCTAATTTAGTTGGCCTGGACTGCAAGGGCACAGAAACAAGGTAAGCTTGACTGCCTCATGCTACGTGATATGTTCGAAGCATGTCGGGGCACAGGGCTTTCATGAACGGAAGATAATCATGCACCAAGCATAGAACAAAATGCCGCCATTGAATTTCAGTGATTAGCCGTCATGGTCGTCTGCTCGAAACTAGTAAACGGGATGGAATGAGTTCAAAACCCTCTCACATCGGAATCGGTAAGTGTTCTTTCCCGTCCGTTCTTATGTACTTCCTGGCGAGCGCTTTTGCCAATCATCTTTGAAGCATCTCCGTCTGCATCCCACCGAATTATGTAGACCCCTGGCAACCCAACTGTCTTCGGGCATTTGGGGGCGCGGGGGGGGGGGGAGGGGGGGGGGGGTGGACATATGTACCTCCTGGAGCACTTCAGAGCCCTGCCGACCGTATAAGCAAGGTCTTTTCATGGTACAATAACCAACCAAAGCCATGTGAGCGTTTCTGTAAATACATTACCAAATTCAGGTGGGTGTGCATCTGTGCGCATGATGTATGTACGTATATCTATATCTACATATTTATATATATATATATATATGTGTGTGTGTGTGTGTGTGTGTGTGTGTGTATGTGTGTCTGCATGTACGTACGTACGGAGGTAGGTAGGTAACTATGTATGTATGTATGTTTGTTTGTATGTTTGGTTGGTTGCATGTAAGATGTAAGTACACACGCACATACGTACGAACACTTCCCTCCAAATTGTTGGCCTCCTTCTTCTGTGGCGGCTCTTCGTCGTGTCCTCTTGCGGAAAATGCACTCACGGTCGTAACACCGCAACTGTCAGGGATGAGGGGTCCGGGGCTTGGCGTACGTAAGAATGAAATGATACCACATCTTAAGTTGTTTTTAGCACACAAGAGAAGTGAAGTGATTATCTGTTACTTTGTCAGTCCCTGTCATACCGTACGCGGGGATTCATTTCGGAACGCCCGATGCACTCGACCGAAAGCCTCCCTCGGTGTGGAAGCTCGAGCTGGAACCCTGAAACCTGGACCTCGGGGCCATCCTGAGCAGAGGCAGAAACCCCTCATGAATAAACTCTCGTCCTCCGTACTTGTTCAACAACTCCGGGTCCACTTCTTCGCCATATTTTTCACAAACACCTGTCCAAGAGGTTTCAAAGCAGTAGGTAGGCTCGTCAGATTACTTAGAGCAGCACTTTGATGTAAGACGTGTCTGTCAATGGCACATACTTCCAACATCTGTGGCTACTTTAGCGAAGATGTTGTCGTTAAACGGTTTTGGCGGCGACGGAAACTGGCGATCTGAGATGAGACAACGACAAACATGGTGTTCTGTTGAAGGTGCTGTCTTCGGTATCGGCTGCGTCTGTGTGCGACATCTGGTTTTGCTGAAATCATCGCGGCCGCTGTTCCCGTTTCTGATGGGAATGTCTGCAGGACTGAAGGTGTTGCTGGAAGCGGCATGGTTCCTGACTATGTGTTGTTGGTGTTGTGGTGGCGGCAGGGGTGGTGCTGGTGGTTGCTGTGTGTCTCGGTCGATGCAACTGTCGCAATGTCGCTGACCGGATGTGGTGGCAGCTGCTGCACTGTTACAGCTATTTACGGTTCTTCTTCTCTTACTGTCATTGGACATGTGAACGGGTCTGACGTTGCACGTCACCACTGTGCATAGAAAGGCTTATACAGGCCGGCACACGACTTGCAAACTGCAGTATCTGGGGATCTAGGGTAAGGTTAGGCTTCCGGGGTTGGATGGTGATTATGTCCAGGCTGCTTCAGACGGAAACTTCCGGTTACTGGGAAGCGCGAAGGCAGGGCTGTCCCTTCTTCTCTGCCTACCTGCCGACCGGCGTGTGCACGGCCCGGAATGTTTATAAACCATGGAAAGCTGCAGGTGCAGCAGACTTGTTTTCAATTCACTTGGCACTTGTCTGAGGAGGGCACTCTTGTATAACGTCCCTTCACGTCCCCGGAACTTGTGGAGAAGGTCGTCGACGGAGGATAGCTTTGACGGGTTGTGACGCTCCTTGTCAACATCCAATCATGCGGCTACGAGCACCTGCAAGTCAAGGGCCCAACTTCGACTAGCGTACTGGGCAAAGCTGCTTCGGGTGCTCTGCTGGCAAGACGAGCTAGATGCGTCCAATGCTTTGCTCCGCATACGGTAGAGCTCTCAATCCAAACACCCAGCCAAGCTTCGTAGATCGCCACAACTGCCTCGCGCCTCGGCTTCGAAACGACGTAGTGGGCTCAGCCTGAAACGCCTCAAGCGACCTTCACTCTGAAATGGCGACTGCAGCATGTTAAGGATGACATCACATGTGGCCGGCGCAACTTCAGAGACCTGGGTTGAGGGACGGCAGCTGACGGCTAGGAAGCTACAAGTAGACAAGTTTTCTCCAAACGGCTGGGAGTACCGAGTGCTCTGGACACCCTCCGTTGTTGAAGGAACCACCAACTCACTCTGCAAGCACGGAATAGAGGTTCGAAGCACCAGGGCTACATCCCGAACTCACAACTTGTCTGCGCGAGCCCAATAGCCCCCCGAGTCAACACCTGGATACGGGCTTCCCATGTAGCTCAGGCGCAGTGTCAAGGACGTTATCTTGGCTTCGGTCTGACCGGCAGCTTCACTCTGAGCCTGATGATAATAGAGATCGTAGGCCATACGAGAGTTTTATGGTATTGTACCCGTACACTATACTCAATTCAGGTGTTGCGCTTCTTGTTGAAAAAACCCGCAAACCATGGATCTGATCTGATCCAGCTGTGTGTGTGTTTTTTGCCATTGCTGCGCGTGGGTCCGCGCATGGGCAGGTGGGGATCTGGCATGTGAATATCCAAGAGCCACCTATTTATCTAGGGTCAGGGTCTGTTCCTTCCCCCAGATTTGCCGGAATGTGATTCTGGAGTTCGGCCATGTGATCGAGACGGCCCGGTGAGAAGTTATAATCATGCAAATGCCGAAGCCGAAACCACTGTTGAGAACCCGATAGACCGAACTGGAGAATGCAAAGAGGAACTGTGCGCAGTGTCTTACCATCCCAGCATTCCGCAAACTTGTCCCACCTGCTGCGACTGCTCCACTAGATACCCTTTCAAACCACTACATAGCACATAGTTCAGCAGCCTCAATGCCGTACTTCTTGCAGACGGCCTCGGCAGCATGGCGACAGTTAAGTCAAACCTGCACACATGACGGTTGCTTGGGGGTTCATGGGACTTAGTAAGTACACTCATAAGTGCCCTAACTGGGGTATATCCAATTATAAGTATAGGTACCTTATATATAACTTATAACCATAGTTACTAAGTCCCCCGAACCTTCAAGTGGGGTTTCCCTGCATCAGACTCGAGCTTCAGTCCAACACATCAGCCAGCAGCTGTATCGGACGGCAAACCTCCGAAGCGTCTCTTCCAGCACGCCCTGGTGCAAGAATTGACGATCGGCGAAACTCTGAAAAGCTGTCCTTCTGCTTGTGGATTCAGATGACTACTCTAATACCGAGTGCGTTGGGGTAACACGGCTTGACCCTTGTAGACCAATCCTGACCCGAACAAACATCCTAGTCTTTCGTCTCTGACCCCAAATCATCAAAACTCGACGATTTGATCAGTTGCGTAAGCTTGCATCGCTAGAAACTGCATCCAAAACTGGAAGTCTAAACCCTCAGCTCGACCCCCCGTCAAACCGGCCGAGAAACCTGGTAAAGGCTCTCCAACTTCTCCTGGCAGTGCGTTGAGAAAGCCTCCAGGTCTTCTAGCTGCTCGACCTGCTCACAGTACCTTGTCCGTCCGTTTCGGGTTTAGGGTTTAGGGTTCCGTCCGGGTCTTTGTTAGCTACGGCCGGCTCTTCTTGAGGAACGCCGTTTAAACGTAGCTTAAGGGTTTAGTAGGACCTTACAAAGGGCTGAGTACGTAGGGGTGAGGGAACGTAGCCTAAGGTTCCATGCTCTGGATAAGTACTCAATAACCTGATTACTGTAGTTCCGGATTCTGATGACTTTAAAGACGCTCCTCAACAAGAGCCCAGGTTGGATTCACTGACGGCATATCACACGGTATGTAATTCAAAAGGCCACTTTCGTTGCGGACCTGCAGTTAGATTCGAGGGGTCTAGCCAGATATCCTGTCTGACAAAAACTGGTTAACGATTCCTTCGGAGTCATGCGCATCTAAAGAGTCGCGCATCGGTTCCAGCACAGGGGGTTGAGGCTTCAGCGAAATAGCTTTGAGGCTTTCCGGGAAAAAGGTCTTGGGTTCAGGGTGCGTCGGGTTGCAGGATATCTGTTTCTGCGAGGCTTTGAGGCTTTGGGCTTGGCCGTCTCACGAGGCTGAGTTGAATAGCAACCTTTTTGGAAATCCAACTCAGCCTCGCGAGGCGGCCTCTCCAACCTGATGCATGACATGAATCATGTCACTGCTCCCTACCAACCAACTGCTGCTCTCTGGCGATACATGCCAGTCTTGCAAGCATGCTACAGAAGTGCGAGTCGACTTTGTGGCCACGGCTCTTGTGCCATGCGCATCTCGAAGTTCTAAGACCAAGGTGCTTGTGTATCAGCTTGTCGATATCCGCGAGTTTCTCTGGGTTGTGCTGCTCGTAGATGTTTGAGAGAAGAAACTGGTACTTCTGGAGCATGCTCAGCACTTCCTGATTTGTATGGTTTATGCTCCGGGTCCTAGTCGACTGAATTCCGAGGTTCGGACGCGCAAAGCGCAATTCACTACTTTGTCCTGCAGAAAAGTCGTTGCCTCAGGGTATTTGTACAAGAGGCAAGCATAGATACATGGGCTAGCAAGACGCCGTGAACTTGAGTCATATGCTGTAGCAAGGGCTGTGGAAGATGTGTCAAATGCCGACGGCAAGAGTCCTGCCACTGATGCAATCATCGTGTTGTGTGTGAAGCACTTCGCATGTCAGCATGAGTTTGTATAGCCAGGACGACACAACTTGAAACCTCAAACTTTGAAGCATCCCTCTCCACCTGCAGCACTGAATACCGCTTTTTTGCACAGCCCCGCTACGCGGAAAGCCCAAAATCAAGCGAGAGAAGCCATCTTCTTATCTGCGCCGCGATCTGGCTCAGGGGAGTTCTGCTCCTTCCGGGATCAATCCAGATCTTCTGGATCCCATTGTAGGACCCTTACAGATACCGTATGAAAAACTCTTAAAGCCTTAAAGCTGTCTTTTGGATTCTTGTTTAGATCCCTTGAAGAACACTTGCAGATCTCATGGATTCGACCAGCCGGCAGGTGCTTGTGGGAATGTCAGGAAACTCTACAGGTTTTCAGCGATTCACCCTCCATCCGCCCAATGCTTCGGGTTCCCTAAGCATAACAGATTCCAGCACGAATGCAGCAGCACTCAACTGGGCACCTTTGCTTCTTCTGATGCTGAATGCGCAGACATGGCATTGCGCAGAGATTGCGCAGTTCAAAATGCCAGTCGACACGTCAGCCTACCTGGTAGATGCATACCGAAAAGGCCAAGGACGTCGTACACTATAGGTGAACCAAACAAAACCTCACAAACCGACAGGGCAAGTTTGAGCAACACTGGCGTTGGCATTGCATCGACGTGGCTTTCTGAAAGGGACGGGCTCTGACGTGGGAGAGTGCCTTTGCAAATGCGCATAGAAAGACCCCTCGCAACACTGCTTCGGTGGTTCAACCTTAGAGGTTGGCTCTTTTGGAAGCCGCCTTCGGCATGGGCCGGCGATGGACCATCAAATTGGGGTTGTGATCGAGCATCCTTTATTGCAGTGGCAGTAAGTCGTACATGTAATCCCGCACATGGGACGGGACAGCCTCGAGCGATGGCAGATTAGTTGGCGGCTGATTTTCAAACAGCATCACGGTTTCAGAGCATCCGGCTGCGAGAACAAGTGGTCCTACAGCTTGCTCATTGTCGCTGATGTGAACCTACGACTATGCCTGTGACTATATTTTCATGATAGGGCCAACGTGGTTCGTTGCACTGCAAAGCGTTCGACGAAAGGCTCGGCCATGCACGGATGTTAGACCTCCGCGATGCTGCAAACAGCGACCGATCTTCGGACTGGTCGAAAGTCGTGCAGTCGCTTTTCGTATTTCCGTGGGAAGTGGTCGCATGTTGACATCGGAGGCCCGGTTGCGTTGGCGCTTCGACTTGCTTTAGTGGCAGTGCATCAAGCAAGGATTTCCGGTGCAAAATTGAGTTCTGACTTCATTGTGCAGAAACTCAAGTGTGGACAGGAGCTGCCGGTCGGACAGCAGCAATCCAATCCCGTGCTGGGGCAGCCCTACCGGAACCAACTTCCTCCCGCTCTGGTTTCAAGACCCACTTCAACTAAATGACAGAGCTTGTAATCAGTCAAAGCAGAACCCAGCACCGCCTCCTCCACAAGTGCGTGTGTTGCCTGGCTTCGCTGCCCCGGGAGCTTGTACTCGAACTCTTTCAAGGGGATTATAAGGGTTGCTATGAGGGATCTATAAGGGTACCATGTTTTAGGGGCCTAGATAATTACCTATATTATTTTGGAGTTCCTTCTGAATTGCCATGTACCCGTCAACTCATATCTCCACTTCGTGATAGCGTCCTGGCATGTCGTGCACGATCTGTACAAACCAATTCATAGTACACCCTGCCCTTGTCCTGCCACTCCAACACCCCATACATTCCGTACATGTTGGAGTCTATGCCGATTTTGCCGTGCATGGCGACAGTTCCGTTGCAGAAACCAGTCGAGCATGACATGCTCTGCCTTGCTTAGTCTACTGCGCGCATGCTACATGGCATGCGCACATGTTCATACAGATTGGTGCAGTCTTCTGTATGAGTAACATTGAGTAACTGCAAAGGAAGTCCAAATCAATAGGAACCTCAACACCTTCAAAAGCTTGTGGAAGTACCGCCGTTCGGAGGATGGCGACGCACTTGTTTCACGCGTCAGTAACTCATGAAGTGCACCCCTCAAGTAAGCCATGTTCAGACTATCTGCTACTTCGACAAGCTCGGCACATGCGCTCGTGTAATCACGTAGTGGAAGATCCAGCAAAAGTCTATGTTCTACGGGACTGACAATGGTGCTGCGGTTCGAATCTTGCGATGCACGGCGGAATTCAGGAGCACGGCCACAATACCTCCCGCCACGTACTGGCGGAATCAAGAGAAATGCCAAAATGCTTTTCCCCAAGCATTTGCAGGATTCAGGAGCACGGTGCGAATTTTCCCCTCATATTGGCTGGTGGCTCCCAAATAGCATTGGGAGCCACAGAGCCAAGCGCCCACCTTACCAAATTCTCTTCTACACCCCAGTTTAGCACCTGGTACCCAGCGGTGTGTACCACGCTCACAGAGTTGAACAGCGACAACAGAAAACTCTGCAAGTGCAGGACAATCACATCTCAACTCATTTGAGCGTAGGTCCCCAAACGGCGGCACAGCACCAGGACGACCACCACAACCACGAAAATGGCGGGATTCCAATACATGCTTCCCAAATGGACTGGTGGGATGCAGGACCACGGCCAACATTCTTCTCTCATGCCGTACTGTCGGGAATCAAAGACATGGCCGTGCAAAATGCTTCCGCGGGCCACAAGCATGGGAGTGTGCCAACAAATAAGGGGACAGTCCAGCGCAGAATACGTAACGTATTCTTCACACTTAACGTAAGTTAACACCATAGTGTACCACGCTGTTCGCTCAAGTCAATGACTCGCATCAACAACACGAAGAAGCAATGGCCGAAATCACAGCGTACCTGAAAATTCGGTTCAGTCATCTGAACTTCGCAATAACAAACCGAATCGGACGAGTCAATCACTAGTCAATCCTTGCCAGAACACGGCGGCTTTGAAACTTGCCTCTGCAATCATCTCTCGGCCGAAATCCAGCAGGGAGGTGCGCCAGCTAAAGGCGGCCTCTTGGGATCTTTACTGTAGTTTGGGATTTGCAGTCACTCACAAGAGGAGCACTTGTACCAAATCAAGGTAGAACAAGCCTTCGATAGTGCAACATCACCAGAGTTGGTTGGGCTTGGCAATTTCCCTACAAACCGTAGTTTCTTTGGACGCTACGTAGAAATGAGGCCGACCACAAACCGTAACATGGCACATGAACGGATGTGAATAGCCTGCTCTGCAATGTATGCAGGCTTATCCTCGTGTACTTGCTCAACAATTGTGGAAGGTTTCCAAGTGTCAGAACGTCCTGCCTGCTGCGGCTGCGCATGTTCGGCTGGAGCAGAGCTTGTTTCCTGCGAACCCAGCATCCCTTGCTTGCGTCAATATGAAGAACTGTGTAAGCTGGACAAGTGACCATGCTCTTAAAAGCTGCATCAACAGATTTTGTTCAGGGCTCAGGGAATGCACCTCGCAGAAGAAGCAACATACAGTAAGCGACTCCATACGCAAGTTGCAAGAGCGATGCACACCAGCGTGCATTGAGGTCGCAAAGCAACTGTGATACAGTCTGCCTGCTGCTGTTCTTGTTGTGGGGCCGGAGCAGCAGAAATCTCCTGCAAGCCAGCCGACGTCATATAATACAATATAATATCATACACTATACAAGTTTATATGTATATATATATATATATTTATATATATATATATATAGATATATGATGCAGGGCTGCCACACCCCCTCTCCCCCCCCCCCACCCCTCCCCCCCCGCCCCCCCTGTGGCGCGGGGCCTGTGGTGGTACTCTTTTGCCGCGACGTTCTTATGTGTTACTCCTTGTCTTCCCTCTTGCTGTGGCACCGGTGATACTGCTCATGATGTTGTGCTGCTCTAGACCGGGACATGAGTCGACAATCAGACCATGCTCAACATCATCCTTGTCGTCGTCATCTTCATCATTAATACCTTCAAAAGAATATCTGCCACCATCACCATCGCCATACAACCCTCATAATTCAGCAGTGCAATTCATGTCAGATGCTGGAAACTACTCGCCCGATTGCCGCTTTCCGCACACGGCAGGGCATAGTGCGACACTCCCGATCCGCGCACAAGGTCCAGGTTGGGGGCGGCGGGCAGGGCGGGTGGGCTACCATTGCGGGGGGGGGGGGGGGTACCATTGGGGGGGGGGGGGGGGCCGGCGGCCCGGGACCCGAGAGCATATATATATATATATATATGTGTATTTAATGCTTCGCCTGGTTACCTTTCTTGCTGCAAACGGTCTTGGAAGTAGCAGTGCTTCAGGTTTTACACATCTGTGCATCTCCGTACCTGCACACTCCAGATATGAGCTTTGCTTGTGGAAGAACTTTCAGTGGTAGCATGTCATCGTACGGAGGTTCGCGGATCGGCACGGCCATCTTTAATAATCATTCTCCTTCAGTTCCACAGTAATCCTGCCATACTGTGCTCGTGCTTACAGTACCCGGCTTTGCAGCACCTTTACACCCTCAAGCTACCCATACCCTCCGCTGAAGCGAAGCTCAAGCCCAAATTCGAAGACCGACAAAGCCTTACTTGGCCCCTCGGCCCTGCCCAAAATCTGACCATAGGCAGCCACCTCAACTCCAGTCGCCCGTGACGCGGCAAGATCGTCAGCGTCAGTCTGCTCCGTTGCATCTGCGGCCTCTGGTTTCATCATAGGCATGCGAGCTTGGGCCACAATGTTTGAACCTTGGGCCCTTGGCAAGCTTCGGGTTCAAATCAATGCGGCACATAGCAAAAGCCTAAAGTGTCGACAATACAACCTCCCCTCTCCAAAAAAGGGCCGATCTAACTTACTCTATCCCGGCCAAACCTCGCGAGACTGGCCTGGCATGGTTCGGGCACCAAAGGCTCGCCACCAACGGCTTTGAAGTCGATCTCCTTCTGACTGGGATTTGGGGGCGGCAGAAAACTGGTGCGATAGACCCCCGAATGGAATCTTGATTGTAAGGGCCCCCACCATAAGTTTTATTAAAATACAGGTACGCAGGTACGCCCGCTGTTTTGCAATTTGGCTCAGACACTCGGCGTGGGAAGGCACTTGCATCACAACGAGTCTGTCACACTGAGTGCCCCATTGCAGTACAAACAAATTGTCGAATGTCTAGTATGGTCTAGCCTTGTGAAATTTGACATGCTCATGTACGTCGGGCCTAATCCTAACTGTAAACGGGAGTTTCCGAAAACAGGGGACCCTATATAGCACCCTAAATAGTAGGATCCGATATAAGGACCCCAAAAAAGGTACCCCCTAACTTTCGGAAACTCTCAAATGCTTCGCGTCATCCAACTGGGCCCGGCTGCGGAACCATAGGGGTGGTTGTCAATATTAGTGTCCCTTTTGGGGGTCCTTATTATAATCCGGCACCTACTATTTAGGGTACCCAAAAAGGGACCATAATTTTGACAACCACCCATATAAGGCACTATACATGTTCATCTCCGAAAGGGCCGGACGAGTGCCTGTTTTCGCGGGCCTGCTGATTTGTGTGATAATTACTGTAGCAGTTACCTTTGGGGTACATTGCAGCAACTAGTGTAAGTATATAGGGTTTACGCTCTCGCAGCTCGGACTCGCCAGACAAGGTCTCTTGGGTTATGTTATGTGGGTTTCGGGTTTAGGGTTTATAAGGAATGGAGCTCCCGCTCCCATGCTAGCTGGGTGGCATGTTGCCTTTGAAATGTGGCCGGTCCAAGCAAGCCCCAGAATCGCAGAACCCTAACGGCTGAGCAAGCATTCAGCCAAAGAGAAATCGGAGCCTCGAAATCTCCCCAGCCATCCACATCCTCCTCATCTTCCTGCATGGCAAGAACAAATTTTCCGAGTAGGGTCGAAGGGGCTCCTTTCATAGGGGTTGGTTGAGGGTGCAGTGCTTCTGTGCAAACTCATTATGGGTGCGAACCTTGTGAGGTGGCTTGACACCGAGAGTTCGATGCTTCTTGGCTCCCAGGACCTCCAGTTTCTCATCGTCTTAGAACTGTAGAATCGATGGCATGGGGTCCTCCATCGCCATCAGCAGCGCATGGGCGCTAGAGTGGTGAGACGCAAGCAGTTACGAAATAACCCTGCGCCCGCAGACTGGAGGTTCAAGAAGGGCCACCGAATGAATGCTTAGTCCTCGTTTCTCTTCAGCCTGTGTTAGTGTATTGGCTCGCCAAAACCAGTTCTGGTTGGATTGCTACCGACTACCTCTATTCATCGAGGAGTGAGGCGCGCTCTGCTTGTCCTCTCACAGAGCTGGTACCAGCTGTCGATTTGGGATTTCTATGCTCTTCAGGAAAATACTTCAGGAATCAGGGCTGTAAGCTGCAAGATAACACGGGATTCCGTCTGAGACAAGCAGCCCTCATGCGGGAACTTGTGCCCCCCAGTCTAACCCTGTCCTGCATCCAAGAACCACGGAGGAATGCAAACGGCCAGAACATGCATGATCAATCTCACTCTTAACTACTTCTTGCCGGAGCGAGTCAGGTCGAACCCAGTCGTCCCACGAGATAGTCCGTAAAACAGGACCTACATGAATCGACATGACATTCTTCACTCTCCTACCCCAAGACAAGACAGACAAAACACATCTCAACAAAATCCAACAAAGGTAGCTTCGTCGGATACATGCAAATGATCAAAGTCCCATGGAGCGCAGCAGAAGACCCCCCCTCACCAGGGACAGGGCCAGGCTTGGCATCTCGGAAAGCCTGCGGAAAGACAAGACTGGCCGGGAATGCAGCTCTTGGACTTTCTAATCATGAGCTGCGGGCTGGTCACTGGTCATAGCAATTTTTATGACACATGATGTTGGTGGTGGAAGATGTTGATCGTGGTCGATGGTGCCGCCTGCCGTGATAACCAAAGTTATGCTGTGGATGAAGGTGCTGCCAGCATCGTCAATGCCAACATCATCTGTTCTTAAGTTGCTCGTAGCAGTGGCAACGATGCACATAAGATTGTCCGCTGGGATGTTAAGCATTGAACCCAAGACCAACCTTTAGGGGCGGCCACAGTTCTTCGTTCTGAGGCTCGTTTGAACACAGCCGGAAAAGTGGCTCACAAACCGACTTCGTTGCATCGTGGCTTAGGTATGTGGCTTCGGTCTACTCATGTGGCGACCCGGTATTTCGATAACTAGTGTGTTTTTGGCATGTACACATCTGAATACTTGCTTCTCATGGTCGAGCTGTAAAGAAACATGCTTCAGGGACACCGGCGACCTCGGTGGACGTTGTTCAATTTCATCCGGCCACATTTTGATTGTGTTGCTGTCACCGCGACCCGCACGTTGACACGAAGGAGAACAAGCCTCACTACTGTTAGGAAAAGGCGGATGAATCCTCAACGACACTGGGCCCTTCCAATGTCTCCCGGTCGCAGCTTCACTGGTTTTTCGTGTCAACACGGCATTCTCATGTGCAAACCAAGAGCCACAGCACCTGCATCGTGAAGGTTCGCGAGGCCTGGTCGAATACCATAAAACAGCAATGCTGCCCCTAATGCTGACACATGCAGCATCCAGTCTTCCTTGATGCACAAAATCAGCAACCGGGACTTGCTGAGGTCAGGCTGTACAGCTTCACCTCTTCCCTCATATTTAGGATTCCTGTCCCCGCAAGCTTCCCAAGGACTCGAAGACCCCGACCGGAGCGAGCCTGGGACATGTTGCCTTCCAGTGCCCAGGCTTCAACTCCTTCCGCTTGCAACATCTTGGCCAGAGACTTTGCCTGCGCAGGTTCAAGTGGTGCCTTCTTTCCTACTTCGGCAATGCATCCAGAGGGGTGCCAAGCTACAGGATTCCACAGACAAACCCATCACTCCTGCACATTGAAATTGCAGACTGCTGGAACAGATTCAAGATGTGCTTCCGATCTAGGTTGGATGACGCAAACTTGAGCAACGCGGGTCTCTGCCCATGCCGACACGACACGTGCAGTGATTTCCAGGATCGGAAGAGGAAGTTCGACAGAGTCTAGCCAAAACGTTTCACGTGCAAGTCCAGGTTCACAAAACATGTGGAACGCTGTCGGCCCGCGTTTTTATCACAAGTTCTCACGAGTTTATGCTGCAAAGCAATCTGCCCAGAGTACCGGCATAGACCGACACCACTGGAAGATCTGCAGAAGTTCCCTCGAGAAAGCATCGCATCCGAAACACTCTGACCAAAACCCTCCAGGAGGAGCTCCCAAAGCCCAGAGCACGCGGCCCGGACTCGCAACAACTCTGCCAGTCCTGTGGCTGAAACCACAAACACCTGCGTAAGAACTCCATATGGGAGTTTCCGAAACTAGGGCCCTACCTCCCGCTTGAAGAGGACGAAAATCAAGACCTCTTCAATGGAGACTCGGTGCTTAGAGGCTTAGAGCGTGTTTCAGCCAGGTTTCACCGGAATCTAAATCTTCAAACAGGGAAGCTTCAAACATCTCAACTTCCAGCTGGTGTGCAGGTACCCTGTAGCCGGAGGCACCTGCTGTAAATAAGTGCTGTGATTTGTCTGAGCCTCCAACCAAGACTCAATCAAGCTCAAAGCCTCCGTGACACATGTCCCTTGAACATAGAAGCGTAAGCCAATACAGCTGCACTTGCTGCAATGAGAACACCTGTTATCGATGTTGTCCTAGTTAGAATGTACTTCTCCGCAGTAATCCCCACCAGCAACAGGTATTCTCAAAGGCTTGACAACTTTAGGGAGGCCCTGATTCCAAGCGTAACCTTGTGCATCTGTAAACACCCAGACCCTGCATGTAGGAAGACCAGTCAAAGCGGCACATACCCTACATCATGCTGGTTGAATGCATTGCTCTTTGAAACATCCTACCTCCATAAAGATAGTGTCGGAAGACCTTCAACCGTTCAGTCTTCGTCACCAGTGTCTTGGACAAAACCCTGGCGTGGATGCAAAGCTTCAAGCCCCTGCTCATACAGTCAATGCAAGTCTCAAACGGCCCAAAATCAATCCTAATTATAAGAACCCGTCCAGATCCCTAAGTAATGAGGTATGCCGCCCGAATTCGTAGATCCCCCTGGCTAACTCACGACCGCCTTGGCCGCTGATCCAAACTCTCGAAGCAAATCTCGAAGCCGCTTCGCTCGCGATGCCTCTGGGACCAGATAGGGTTTCACATGGAAGTGCACTAATTCAATTTAGAGGTATCGGTATCGGGCTCAGGGTTGAAGGCTAAACTTACAAAAGCACAGGCGGATTCGTTTGCAACGCGATGAGGGCCTCAGGCCGGTTTGCCTGAGATCACCGCTTATCCTGACCAAGGCTCGGAGATTGGCAGAACCCATAGAAAGTCGTACTGTAAAGAAGTTAACAGCTTTCTGTGCCAGGGGTTTTCTTCATTCTTGTCCCCAACCGTTGGGAGCGCCTGACTGGCTGATTCTTCGATCGGAAAATGATACTTGGTAAAGGCAGTACGGGCAGATGTGCAGGTGAAAAGATCATGCAACAACTGCCTCTCGCAAGATGCATGTTTGCGCAAGAAGATGGACTTGCTCCCGCTGTCTCGGACAGTGTAGCGAGTCATGGGCAAGCTTGGCAACTTGGGGTGAATTGTAGGGGGAATTTGGTTTGATGCAGCCTCTGTCGTAGCAAGCCCTCGCACATCCGTTTTGCGTACTGTTTGTTTCTCCCATGTTCCCTTGAACAAAAGGCTTCGTTAGGATTCGAATGATTAGAAGTCAAGCTGATGATGATTTTATCAGCCCGAGCGGACGACTCACCCGGACGCTCGCATAGAGAACCAAATTGACCTTTAGTCCCGACACTCCTCACCGGGCAGTTGGCACCAGTTGCCTCACTTTCATAGTACAAGCTTGCAAACCCGGGACGGCCAACGGCGAACCGAATGGGGGAGCAAGATCCCTGTGCCACCATCCCTCAAAATCCGAGAGACCAGCAGGGAAATCGACAAAATCGAAATCCAATCCAAGATGACCTAGAGACCCTAGAACTTTCAATGCTCGAAATCCCGGAAGAATCCTGAGCTGTCCAAAACCCTCATGGCAGATGCAACCTATAAACATCAGCTCTTCGCACCCCCTGCCACGCAAATCCGATCTGAAATCGGCCTGGCCTTGGGTACCAGCTCCACCTCCTGCTCTATGAGCTTCGGAATGCCCTCGACGGAGATCTGAAGAGTGTGGCCAGCTGGGCAAGGTTGGAGGGAAATATAGGGGCCTTAAAGATTAGAACAGGGTCTTGGAGCCCATCATTATATATACCATGCTTGTAATAAGGAACCCCCAAAATAGTACAGGTAATGATTAAACGATTACATTTGGTCAGGGTCCGAAAGCTTCCAGATTTCAGGCTGGGCTTTTAAGTGGAGGGCGGCCAAACTGCCGGAGCCACGGAGGCCCAGGCCTCGACTCCCTAGACCTAGACCCTCCACCCTGCCACCCCTCTCCCACCAGCCTACCCTAACCCTACACCCCCCTCCACTTCCAGTCTAGGCCACGCCTCCACCTGACCCGCCACCCTTCCAACCATGTCTTCGTTGTCTTGGTTCTGTCAACCATCTCGTTTTACATTTCGCTTCGGCACATGAGCCTATACCTTAAGCAAAGCTCAACATTTGGCTCGAAATCTCCATAGCTCCCAAGGTCTATCAAACGAAGCCTGCACCTGCAACATCCCGCCTCTTGTCATGCTTAACTCTATGCAAACATCTCCGCCTCTCTCTATATACATATATGTATGTATACATATGTATATGCATATGTAGGTATGTATGTATGTATGTATGTATGTATGCATAGCAGCCTTCACCGGGGCGGACTTGATGCTTTGCAGAGTGTGTATGCTAGTTATGTACAGGTATGTACGTAATATATATATATATATATACATATATATATATATATATATATTTATTTAAATTTATACATACACACACATATATATATATAATGTATTTATGTATTGGCTCTACCTGCTTCCGTGTTTGTTTTTTGTGTGCGGAAATCCTTTCCATACAAACCTTATCCTGTAACTTATGTATATCCCCTTAGACTAGGAAA